GGGAAAAGGCCTCACATCAGCGGGGTGTCTGTGCACTAATAAGGAGAAAGATCCTGTTTGGCGTGTGTCCTCAGTAAATTGTTTTACAATTTACACATCCAAATTTGCCCACACTTGTAAAATGACTGCTGTGTCCCATTTAGATTAATACAAGAAAAAATTGTGTCCAGGGACACGGATGCCCCCGCTGACATTCATAAGACATATAAAGATCAATAATTGAACAAAATTCAATAAAAATCTATGCAACTATGACATGCACACCTTTCGAGTCTCAATGAAACACATGTATAAGCTTAATCAATTCTGTTGAGCAGTTTTTGTGGAGAAGTTGATAGACTTCATCCCCTATAACACTATATTCAGAGAGAAATTCAACAAAATTTATTCAAGTTTAAGCGGTATTAAATTTGGAATAATAAATAAAATCTAAAATCAAAATATGAGATGCACACCTTTAGAGTCCCTATAAAGCACATGTGTAATCTAAATGAATTCCATAAAGTAGTTTTTGAGGAGAAGTGGATAAAGTACACCCCCTGTTGTATAGGACGAACTGGATGAATAGAACCAAATTCAACTAAGTTCAAACATCTGTAGAAGCGACAAAATTAAGAAATTGGATGAACAAGGTATGAGATGCACACCTTTAGAGTTCCAATGAAACACACGTAGAAGCTCAATCAATTCTGTTGAGCAGCTTTTGTGGAGAAGTGGATAGACTTCACCCCCTACAACACTATATTCAGAGAGAAATTCAACAAAATTGATCTAAGTTCAAACGGCATTAAAATTGGAAAAATGAATAAAATACAAAATCAAAATATGAGATGCACGCCTTTAGAGTCCCTATAAAGCACATGTGTAATCTAAAAGAATTCCATAAAGTAGTTTTTGAGGAGATGTGGATAACGTACACCCCCTGTTGGATGGAACGAACACTGACTGAATAGAACAAAATTCAACTAAGTTCAAACATCTGTAGAAGTGACAAAAGTAAGAAATTGCATAAAAAATTATGAAATGCACACCTTTAGAGTCCCTACAAAAGACATGTAGAAGTTCATTCAATTTTGTAGTGCAGTTTTTGTGGAGAAGTGGATAGACTTCATCCCCTATTACACTATCATCATAGAGAAATTCAGCAAAATGTACCTAAGTTCAAATGTCTCTAAACTTACCAAAAAAAACAATAAAATAAAAAAACAAAATATGAGATGCACACCATTAGAGTCCCAAGAAACCCATGTATTAGTTCATTGAATTCCACAGAGCGGTTATGGTGGAGAAGTGGATAGAATACATTCCCTGTTTCGTACGGACGGACGGACGGACACCGAGGGTAACCCTATATGCCCCTGCCATATATGGCGGGGGCATAAAAATACAGACAATGAAAATATATATGAAAAACCCCCAACTGTCACTGTGATTTAAGGTAAATTTACAAGAAAAACCCTCTTGAAAATAACCTTTCAACAAATATAGAAACAAAAGATGTTAAAAATACTACAGATAACACACATATACTTTCATACAGTTTTCTTAAGTCAAATCATACTTAACCTTCACCTTGGTACTTGGAATACTCCACCAAATAGTATACTGTGATACAGTATCATATACAGTGATAGTATCATATACAACAGTACAGTATCATATACAACGGTACAGTATCATATACAACGGTACAGTATCATATAATGGCACAGTATCATATACAACGTACAGTATACAATGGTACAGTATCATATACAACGGTACAGTATCATATACAACGGTACAGTATCATATACAATGGTACAGTATCATATACAACGGTACAGTATCATATACAACGGTACAGTATCATATACAACGGTACAGTATCATATACAACGGTACAGTATCATATACAACGGTACAGTATCATATACAACAGTACAGTATCATATACAACGGTACAGTATCATATACAACGGTACAGTATCATATACAACAGTACAGTATCATATACAACGGTACAGTATCATATACAACGGTAGTATCATATCACGGTACATATCATATACAACGGTACAGTATCATATACACCGGTACAGTATCATATACAACAGTACAGTATCATATACAACGGTACAGTATCATATACAAAACTATACAATGGTACAGTATTATATACAATGGTACAGTATCATATAACGGTACATGTACAGTATCATATACAAAACTATACAATGGTACAGTATTATATACAATGGTACAGTATCATATAACGGTACATGTACAGTATCATATACAAAACTATACAATGGTACAGTATTATATACAATGGTACAGTATCATATAACGGTACATGTACAGTATCATATACAAAACTATACAATGGTACAGTATTATATACAATGGTACAGTATCATATAACGGTACATGCACAGTATCATATACAAAACTATACAATGGTACAGTATCATATACAACGGTACAGTATCAACTACAAAGTCTTATAATTCACAGCAAGCATTTTGGCCACAATGTATATTTGTAAACTAAAGACTATTCAGGTTCTGTACATTCCCTCATAGTTTAAGCAGATTACATATTTGACTCCATACTATAAAAAACACATTAAGATCTTCAGATGGTGGTCGTGTTTTCCGGACTTAGAGATTACATCAGTGTCAGCCAATCAGGTTTCAGATGACATGACATGGAAATATGCTTATCAGATAAATCATGTGCAAAAAATGTCTTTCAGAATTTTAACCATATTTGGAAAACCGATATTGCAATCTGTTTGGTATTACATAGCCTCTCTTTAAGGCTAATTTATGGATTTGTTACCATTCTTATCCAGGGTGTTGCAAAGTTATATATAACGGTAAATTGTACTTAAGCCCAAGAAACGCTTGCTATTCTATGATTCATCTCACTAGGATTGAAGGTTTGTGGTCATAAAACAAACAACTCATCACAATGTGTGATAATGTTAGGCAGGAGGCATGAGAAGAAGCCCTACACTGTTAATAAATCACAACCTGAAAACAAGCAGTCAAGACAGTTAAATCTACACTCTTCTCGAATTACTCAGGAAATTAAAACAAAAACCCAGGCTGTTAATAATTCTAGATGGCAGTAGTTAGTAGTGTACATACAGAGCTACAGATAACTTTTTTGGTCATTGAGTTATGTACTCGCTTGTGTTCATCTCAATTGGGTATCCTCATTTTCCTTTAAGCAAACCAAATAGATTGTACTCACCTCACTCAAACTCAATTGGGTATTTTGCCCTTTTCCATTAATTTTAAAGTTATAATAAAGTTTAAATGTTAGTGTTTGTTATTGATATTTTATCTGTATTATGAAAAACTGCAAGTTGTGAAGTTCATTTCCTGAAATAGAACCTCACAGTATACCTCAGTTATTTTATCTAATCCCCGGTACGCAAACTAAGATTTTACATTTTTGTGTGTACGCATGTAAGATCACATTTATTGAGTATTTACAAAAATTCAAGCGTACTTGCACGTAATAGACTTAATTGAGTTTTCACATAAATATTTGAGTAATGTACGCAGATACCCAGCTTAACTGTACCTCTGACATAAAAAACCAACACAAAGAAACAGCCCACATACATATTAAAGCGAAAACATCAGTCCATACAACATGCCGACATACGTTACACTGCTCTATATACAACTGACTGACTGAGTTTAGTTTTACGCCGCTTTTAGCAATATTCCAGCAATATCACGACAGGGGACACCAGAAATGGGCTTCACTCATTGTACCCATGTGGGGATTCGAACCCGGGTCTTCGGCGTGACGAGCCAACACTTTAACCACTAGACTACCCCACCGCCCCGCTCTATATACAAGGTAACCCCTGGTTGTATCACATTATATACACTATGGCTGCCCAATGGCCTAAATATTTACAGAATATTGTTTAATTTGATAGTGATTGTCATTAAAATTAAAAACGTATTTTTAGAATTTTGATCACTTGAACAAATACAAGTCAGTATTTCTTTACAGTTGGGAACAATTACAAAATTTTCCGATAAAATCAAATAGGGCTGTGGTGTAAGAATCTACAACTTCGTTGTCAGTGGGTCAAGTAGACTTAACAGGAGAATGTGTTTGTTTGTTTGTTTGTTTGTTTGTTGGTTGGTTGGTTGGTTGGATTGATTTTTCGCTGCTTATAGCAATATTTCAGCTATATAACCTGATGGAACACTACAGCTCCACGCACTGTACAATGTTGGGAATTGAACCAGAGCCTGTGTCGAGTCAAGTGAACACATTAACCACAAGCCCACCCACTTGACACCCGTTTGAAACAACACACCTTAACCTGTTCATGGTCAGTATCATTCATACAAAGTTCAGCTTTTTCAAGTTTATGCAGAGAATATTTGTTTTGAGTATAAAAAATAGGCATACATAGAGCAATAGACACAAGTGAGTGTTAAATCTGATCATACAACTCATATTTGATGTGTCTTTCAGCTGATCATATTTTGACAGTCATGTAATAGCTGATAGTCCAACAAATCATCTAATGGAACTGTATAACAATTATTTTTTCATCACAACATGCTCCAAAGAAGAGAATGTACATTATATATACTGTGACTGAATATTCTGCATTGAGTTATATTTTGTAGTCAATAAATTGCACATTAAAAGCTTACGCATGCTTTAACCTCTAGACTGTGCTCATGACTCATGAAAACATATAGTGAGTCATTATGATCCTGGTGTTCATAGCTGAGGTGAAATGCTGATAACAGCCTATATCAATACAATTTGAACTGTCAGTTCTCATCCATAACATTGTAACTAATCACACTATATGCAGCATCTTCGTGGATGCCCACAATCTTGAAATCAGAAATCTTCAGGAAGTCAGAGAATCTGAGGAAAAAAATCAATAAATACCGACTTTGTCCACAGAACTGACAGTGGTCTGTGACAAGGTGATGTTGTTGAAGGAAGCTAATGAGTGTACTCACATTTGGAATCAGGTATTTCCGTCACAGAGAGGCGAGTCAATCCCACGCTGGCTTCGAACTTGTACGTGTACTCCACGGCGCGGGAGAACGGGAAATGCTTGGATGTGCGTCGTGTCACCACCAGGGCATCGTTGTACAAGTATAAACCAAGCATCTCCGTGTGCTGGTACGCTCTGCAACAAAGACAACACACAATCACAAAAGGGAATAACAGCAGAAACACAGACATGCTTTGCGCATAGAAAAGGAAAAAAACTCAAAAACTCAAAAACCCAAACACACTCAACACAAACAACAGTAATAGCACAGATACATTATGCATAAACAACAGAACAACACAAAAACATGTCTCCCGTCTAAACAGGCAAGTATTGGAGCAGACAAACCAGTGGATGAATCTGAACAGGTAAGTTCATTTACATGTTTGGTGAAACCAAGGAATAAGCAGGGAAACTAATCGAATCAATCTGAAATACCCTCCACTGATCCTGGCAAGTCGAAGGGAGGCAACTCTGCACAATGATTTACTCACCACTATCAAAACATTATTTGGGTAGTAAAAGTGTACAAGTGAAACCTTTACATCTTTATATGTACCTTCAAAACAAATATATCACCAAAAGTGTTTAATAGAAAAGGGTCAGGTCACCTTTCCAAGTGTTGAGCAAATACTTGAATTTGGCTTGATGATATTTGTACAGTAGTCTTACTACAGATGCCAAATGTGGAAGGATTCCCTGTTAACCATCTTATGAGTGAGTGGGTGAGTATGGTTTTACGACGCTTTTAGCAACATTCCAGCAATATCACGGCGGGGGACACCAGAAAATGGGCTTCACGCATTGTACCCATGTAGGGAATCAAACCCAGGTCTTCAGCGTGACTAGCCAATGCTTTAACCACTAGGCTACCCCACCACCCCTAACCACCCGTAAGCTGACAAAGATTATAACCTGGGATTCAAACTCACGAATAAGCAGATCTTTGTTATCAGATGAATGTATACCTGCCAGCATGTTGTTGCACCCAAACAGACCGTGTATTTAGCACTTTAGTACAAAGGAGACCGAAACTTCCAATTGTTACCTGATCTTTTCCAGTCAAACAGGTTTAGCACCAGTACTATATTTTAACAAAATCATTAAACTCAAACATGTTGATTTTAGGATAAAAAAATTGATGAAAAATCGCCGAACACTGAGATCATGTTAAAAAACTATTAATAGTTTTCAAGTAATGACTGAGTTTGGTTTTACGCCGCTTTTAGGCAAATATAATCATAACACACTGAATGTGGGGATATCGCGTGACGAGCCAACGCTAAAAGACTTCTATGTTGGCTTGTTGACTTGTTTCTAGCAAAATGTAAGAGAATAATAATTTCTTTCACTATAAATGGGATTGAATGGAAAAAGCAATAATGGAGGATGATATCTTTATCTCATACAATCACACTGTACATAGTTAATCAACTTATGGTCATATTACATGGTGAACTTTGACCTGACACTTTGATGACAAATATTTTACGATGACTGTTTGTTGTTTAAAGCCACACTCTGCAATATACCAGCTTCATGGCAGCAGTCTGTAAACAGTCGATTCTTGACCAGAAGATATAGTCATCAACAGCATGAACATCAATCTACGCAACTGGGATACGATTACATGTGTCAACCAAGTCAGCGAGCCTGACCACTCGATCACGGTAGCCGCCTCATGCTGAAGATCAATTCTAACCCGGATCTTCAGGGGTTACGATGACATGTGTCAACCAAGTCAGCATGCCTGACCACCCGATCATGGTAGTCGCCTCTTGCTGAAGATCAATTCTAACCCGGATCTTCAGGGGTTACGATGACATGTGTCAACCCAGTCAGCAAGCCTGACCACTCGATCATGGTAGCCGCCTCTTGCTGAAGATCAATTCTAACCCGGATCTTCAGGAGTTACGATGACATGTGTCAACCCAGTCAGCAAGCCTGACCACTCGATCATGGTAGCCGCCTCATGCTGAAGATCAATTCTAACCCGGATCTTCAGGGGTTACGATGACATGTGTCAACCCAGTCAGCAAGCCTGACCATTCGATCATGGTAGCCGCCTCATGCTGAAGATCAATTCTAACCCGGATCTTCAGGGGTTACGATGACATGTGTCAACCCAGTCAGCAAGCCTGACCATTCGATCATGGTAGCCGCCTCATGCTGAAGATCAATTCTAACCCGGATCTTCAGGGGTTACGATGACATGTGTCAACCCAGTCAGCAAGCCTGACCACTCGATCATGGTAGCCGCCTCATGCTGAAGATCAATTCTAACCCGGATCTTCAGGGGTTACGATTACTGTACACAACACTATATGAAAAGGAAAAACAAAAAAAAAAACAACAACCTGACTTGAATTCAGTAGTGTTACACTGTCATGTTATGTTCACTGACAGAGCTAATACAGCAAAATGTGCAAAATGCTGTAACTGGCTGGACTGCAATGAATCATTCAATTGACAAAGTGTCAAATCATTCGCTCCAAAGAAATTCCAGAAGCAGCACATGGCTGGAAGCTGGAGAAGATAGAGCAGGAAGGTGGCTCAGGCCATGTCTGTCTGACGGTAGCTGGACTGGATCGTCAGTAGTTGATACAGATATAAAGATTAACTGGTCAATATGCACAACCCAATCTGACATCTTCACACAACCTACAATGTTTGTTTGTTGTTGAAAGCCACAGTGAGAAATATTCCAGGTATATAATTGCAGTCTAAATAATAGACTCTGGATCAGACAATCCAGTGATTGACAGCATGAGCATTAATCTACGCAATTGCGATACAGGAATATGTGTCAACCAAGTTCTGTTAGTACCCTCTTACGACAAGCATGGGTTACTGAAGATCAACTCTAACCCGGTTTTTAACAGGTTACCTACAAAATGACTCAGGTGTGTAAGTGAGTTGTAATTTAGGCTGCTGATGTTGATGGGCATCTCCATCATGCAGTGAACAGGGATCCATGTAGATCTGTTTGGAGGACCATAAACTAGGTGTAAAGTCTGGAGCAAGTGTTAGCAAAATTCCCAAACTGGAATTAAACATTGAACCTTGGGATTTATTGAGGATTCCAAATTAACAGCGGTTTGCAGGTCAACTGGAAATATAATTCATTTGTTCAAATGAAATTAAAATATCCATTTTTTTTTTTTTTTCTATTTTTTTTACATTCTTGTCTTCCTAAATTCAAAGGTATTATATCACTGAATTTAAACAAAGCATCACCTGCAATAATGTTATACAACAGTTGAAAGCCTCTTCCTCTATGCTGGTCCAGCTAGTGAAGTACAAGGAACCTTACAAAGACAACACGAACTGGGAAATGGCAAATTCCACCTAAGAATGATTATGTACAATTGCTGCAGATTTAGGTCTGAATGTCAGCCTCTAATCACGTCCTGAGAATTCCCTGCCAACATAACATGATTTTTTAATGGAAAAAACCCTTCTCTTTCTAGTACTCTTTGCTTTGATTTAATAGGAATTTGTCAAGAGGAAACTTCTTTGCTCATAAACTGATCGGTCTTCATCAACACAAAGATGCCTATCTGAATTGTATACACATCTCACAGACGATGCTCAAATAAACTGTTAACTTCAAAGATAGTTCTGACAAATAAGATTAATATAGCTTTCAGAATACCAAAGATTTTTATATCAGTCAATATCGGTTCAAAGAGTCTGACTTCAGTTTAAACACAGACACAGTTTGCGGTCAATTTTCCATTAAACAAGCACTGGCCTTTAAGACTGTGATAGCCAGGTCTATACTGGCTGTTATTAGCTGGAGGAGTTGCAGGTCCCATTAAACAAGCACTGGCCTTTAAGACGGTGATAGCCAGGTCTATACTGGCTGTTATTAGCTGGAGGAGTTGCAGGTCCCCTGACAGACCCCAGACTACTGGCAACTGACAACATAGTTTGTAGTAAAAGGAAGATGGTTTTCTTACCAAGGAATGCTTCACCCAGACATATCCTAGGGTATTGATTGACTTGAAATAACTGATAGACCTTAATTAACCTATACACATGTGGGCGGCACAAGTGCCTGTTTTATTGAACTTGTGGTTGATTGATCAAAGCAGAGTCGCTCTGGACCCAGACAAATGTGGTCATAAGACGGTGATAACTACATCATGATGACACGAAGGTCCTGATGGGGGTCGGGCGGTCTAGCTGGTTGTTGATTGGGGGTGGATGATGAACACATGGTGGGGTGGGGCTCTACAGTTATTGATGAGGAGTGGGGGTGGGGACTCAGAGGGGTGGGGCTCTACAGATGATGCGATGGGGGAGGGTGATGGACTTCAGGGTGAGGGAGGGTGGTGGAACTCAGCGGGTTGGGGGTGGGGCTCTACAGTTGTTGATGAGAGATTGGGGAGGGAGAGGGTGATGGAACTCAGGGTGGGGGGTATCTCTGGTTGTGGATAAGGGAGGCGATGGAACTCAGGGTGGGGTGGAGATCTCTAGTTGTTGATGAGGGTGGGGGAAGGGGGTGATAGAACTAAGGCCAGGGTGGGGCTCTACGGATGTTCATTGGGGGTAGGGGAGGTGGTAATGGAACTCAGGGCTGGGTTGGGCTCTTTGATTGTAAATTGGGATGGGAGAAGGGGGTGACGCAAATCAAGGCGGGGTGGGATTCTACACAAACATGGAAGTCAGATAACTGGTAGTCTAGATCACAGACTTTGTGTACTCCTATGACAATGTAAATTGGCATGGCTCCCACCGTCGAAAGCAATGAATACACAATGCCATTTAGAAAGTGGTCAAATGTCAAAACTAGACTTCCAGTTGTCTGACATTTTTGTGGAAGCCCTGGTGGTTGAGTGGGATAGAATAAGATGGCTGACTTTGTGTGCAGGCAATTAGGTGCCGGACTTTTGAGACTTTTGAGATCCAGGATTCGAAAGTACTAGAATCTGTAGTCAACTGAGAAAGTGTAATCCCAAATATAACCAATGTTACATGTGACCACTGTCTAATTGACATTGTGTATTCAGCAGCTAGGATAGTAGTGAGAGGTGACATACTGGATGGCAGGTCAGGTTCAGTGTGTCATTGTGACACATTGTGTAATCAGCGGCTAGGATAGTAGTGGGAGGTGACATTATGGATGGCAGGTCAGGTTCAGTGTGTCATTGTGACACTGAACCAAAAATGCATAGGATGTTACTCTTAATATCAATCACATGACTGGTTATTTACAGGCTGTCACAGGGGGAAATATTAATTAGTGGGTGATAAATAACTAAATACCTGATCTTTATATAGATTACCATAGTACTGGCAGTCATTCATCCCATGCTCTTGAAAGTACAAAGTTCTAGCTCCACAATACATACAAAATCTTTTTATTTACCATTTTTAGTTCCATATATACACACAGTCACCCACAATCACACAATCATTCTCACTATCTCATGACAATTCAAAGAAACATCTGCAGTCCTTGATTTTCAAAAAATACTTCTATCTGCTTTGTCAGTAAGAAATCCACAAAGACATCTATCAAGCCTTACATAATATGTCCCCAGTATTTGCTTCAGATGTCGTTTCATCAGAACATGTATGTTATCACTGCAGTACAGAAAGCCTCTACAGTATGAAGTGTCATAAAATACCTTGAGAGTACCTTAGCAATTATCTCCCTTTTTTCTACAGTACTTGGATTTCCAACTTTGGTCCATGTCCCATATTCTCTCTGAGAAAATTTAGCAATACTCCAGAATTACCATCACCATCACCACCAGAAACAGGACATGTACCCATGAGAGGGCCAAACTATAGATCCTGTTCACAAAGCAATATTAGCACTAAGGTGATTGTAACAGCCATACTTAAACTAAGGCTAACGTTTAACGTAGTGCTAGGATTGCTTTGTAGAACGACAACCAGGCTTTCGGTTTGACAAGCAAATAATTCCCTCCCATCCTTCACACAAGTCAAACTGAATTTGTACAAATTTCTCAAGCTTTGAGATTTCTCCTTACACATAATGTCGAATTTTGAATTGATACAACTAGGTACATTTCTCAGCTTGACAACAATTACTTGACACACTCTAACAATGATATCTTTTTCAACAGTTTTTACACACACAGACATATAATATTTAATGATCTACCAAACTGTTGTCAAGCTGTATTATCAGTTCTTATAATGATCGCACAATGTTCTGTCTTTGTGGAATGTAAGGGCTCAAAAAAAGAGAGTTGTGGTTCCGATTACCCGACCGACCCTTGAATTGTGGTGCCGACCCTATATTTTTTAAGCGGTCTGAATAAAATAAACTTTCAGGTACCGTTGTTTTTTGCCAGCACCGACAGACATCGGTCTTTCTGATAGAAAAAGTCAACATTATGGCCTCAAGCTTGATTAATAAACCAAAAAAAATTTTAAAAAAATAAAATTCCTACCTTTTAGGTAAAAAAAAATAAAATTCCTACCTACCTACCTACCCTAAATTCTAAAGAGTTGTAATCGGAAACACAACATTTTTTTTTATTTGGCCTAAACACAATTATTTCTGAATTTCTCAGGTGTGGTGGGTTAAATAAAAAAAGAGAGAGAGATAGAATAGGAACATGTAATTGTAAAATGGGTCCAGGATATCTAAAAACTGTTCGGCAACATGTTTTGTATATGTATCTAGAATCCCACTGTATATTGAACCTGGAGGGTTGGTCCTGTCAGGTTTGAGAGACTGGAGTCAACTACACACCCAGCACTCACAGCTGGCGGGGATTTCAGGTCAGACAAGGTCCCTGATATACCCAGTCACTGTCAGCTACCTAGATCATATGGATTATATGAAAACATTACCTTAACAGCAAGGACATGCTCATGCCATCGACAATGTGATCATCAGGCATAAACTCAACCATATACACAGAGCTATGGATGTAATACAGCTGATAGGTATCAGGTGTGGTAAAATAGGGACTAACATCACATCCAAGATTATTTCATGCATACGTTACTGCTCCATGGGACACCATGCTGCTGTTTAACACGGATGCCCACTTAGACACAGTCTGCTGTCTCCTAGCCAACCAGTCCTTGTTCCATCCCTTAATGCCACTTACCAGGCAGGGTGACAACTACCATATTTTAACATGTGTGAGGTAAAAATGGGGTTTAACGTCGTACTTGAGAATATTTTGCTCATATGACGACGTGCATGTGTAAGTGTGGCTGCTTGTACTAGCCCAGACTAAAGCTGGTTTTATAGTGCTAGCCCACTGAGATACCATGCCGCAGTTAAGTATGAATACTCCACTCAGACACATTATACTGATTCCGAGCAGACCAGTCCTTGTGTACCCATTAATGCCGAGCGTCAGGCAGGGACCAACAAGTACCATATTTTTAACGTCTTTTGGTATGACACAGCTGGGGATTGAACCCGTGACCTTCCGCCCTCAGGGTGGGCGCTCTAACCCCTATACTACGGAGACGGTCCCGTATTTTAACATCTCCAGGTATCAGCCAACCCTGTGTAGAACCACTGACCTCTAAGTCTCCTAGAATGGTATAAAGCATGTTCAGTTGTTCAACATCCGTCTAAAGTTCCTAAAGAAAATGACCCTCACCTGCGTTCCGGCACTGCAGAGTCCTTCTCCGGGGGTTTGAGGTTTGCCACATCTTGGTGCTTGATGAGGTAGCGGTTAGCTTCCAGCAGTGCCTGAAGACAATACACAGACAACATCGTGATAATCACTTAGTCAGTAATTAATAGGGCTGGGACAGGTCCGATTTTCTACCTGGGTACCCCACCCCCTATTACCCTACCCTACCCGGATACCCGTTATGTTAATTCCAGACATCAAATTTGCAAGAATTGGCAATATATTCTTCCGCTCGGAAGCTAAAATTTCGTGTTTTTCAATATCTTAACTATGCATTATATTAAAAAAGTGACTGTAAATTATGTCTAAATATTCAAAGACAATACAACCTTTTAATCATGAAAGAATAGCATATTACATTGTTTAATCTATTAATCACATGAGCATAACGGGTCCGGGTATAGAGACGGGTACCCGGGTCCAACTCATTACCCACCCGTCCCGGGTATCCGGGTTACCCGTCTCAGCCCTAGTAATTAACTTGTCTAGTATTACAAACACAGCCACAGCACGGAAACTCATCTGGTTGAGTAATACTACATCAATCTGACCACTATGTCAGCAGCAACCACTGACAAAATGACATCATGAATATTCCATGTCAGAACAGAGGTGTCTTTGTTTTTGGTTCACATTTGCATGCTCTCATCTGCATATATTTTGTTGCTTCTAACAAAAATGAGATAAAAATTGTGGTCCACAGTGGTAATGGCCAGCTCCGTAAAGATACACGCTGGAATCTAGTTTAGTCTCCAGAGTACTACATGATGCATTTGGCAGCAGCACATCAACCAACATCAAGTTAAGGACAAAACAAGAAGACAAAGTCATCAATATCCCCCGCAATGGCAAAATACTCTTTATGAATATGTCTTCTAGTTATGATTATGTCAAATGTTTTGGAGTGTATACAGCAAAGTATTGAAAGGTTTTTAAGATCTGCTCCAGAAAGGAGAACGACCACCAAGTTTAAGCCTAAGTTGCCATCCTCATAGTCACTGCCTAAATCATGTTTCCATGGAAACCACAAAAACTAAAATCATATCTGGGTCCAATCCCAAAAGGCACCTCTAGGGATCATGCTTAACATATGTACCAAGTTTGATGAAGCTAGCATGTATAGTTTGGGGGATCTGCTCAGACAAGATGACATCCTCATAGTCACAGCCTAAGTCGCGTTTCCATGGTAACCGTAAGAAATAAAAGTCATATCTGAGTCTAACCCCCAAAAGGCTCATCTAGGGATCATGCTTTACATATGTACCAAGTTTGATGAAACTAGCATGTATAATTTGGGAGATCTGCTCAGGACAAGATGACATCCTCATAGTCACAGCATAAGTCATGTTTCCATGGAAACCACAAAAATAAATTCGCATCTGGGCTTAACCCAAAAGGCACATCTAGGGATCATGCTTGACATGTGTACCAAGTTTGGTTAAGCTATCACCAGTAGATTAGGAGATATGCTTTGGACAAAGTGTCACGGACACATGGATGGGCCTTACCGATGGGGCGGAACTTCGTTTCTATATCCCCGCAGCTGTGGGGGATAACAAGCTGCTTCTTTTCTAAACAATCTGGGGAGGTGTGGTAGCCTAGTGGTTGAAGCGTTTGCTCGTCACGCTGAAGACCCGGGTTCGATACCCCACATGGGTACAATGTGTGAAGCCCATTTCTGGTGTCCCTGTCGTGATATTGCTGGAATATTGCTAAAGCGGCTTAAAACCATACTCACTCACTCACTCACTTAAACAATCTCCTCACTTTATGAAAGAGAGACAAGGGTACTTTCTCAGCCAACAGACCTATGTGTGGCTACTGCGTGTGATGAGACAGGACCTACCGGACAGTTGATGATTCTCTTCTGAAGTGTGACCAGCTGAACCTCTCCTCTGAACACGTAGAACACCTTCCATAAGAACACTGGAACACACAGAACACTCTCTCTTCAGAACATGGAACATGTGGCAGAACACCTTCCGCAGAACATGAGAACACTTACTGTCAGGAAATGCAGAATGCTCTCTCAAAACATTGGAATATGCAGAACACTTAGTGGCAGAACACCTTGCCGCAGAACATGCAGAACACTCAGTGTTGTTCTTTTCCTTTCCTGTATCTCACCTCCTTGATGCCTTTATCAAGTTCCCGCATTGTGGCGATGGCATTGGCCAGGTCCTCGCGGTCTGCATGGTTGCGTGGTGTGTGGAGCTCAAACCAGCTGAGCAGGGTGACATACTCAGAGATCCGGCGACTCGGCTGGAGGAGAAGCTCCTGGAGGCTGTGGGAGGAAGAGCAGGAGGATGAGGAGGAAGAAGAAGAGGAGGAGGATGGACGAGGAGCTCCTGGAGGTTGCGGGAGGTAGAGCAGGAGGAAGAGGTAGAGAAAGAGGAGGGAGGAAGAAGTGGAGGAGGATGGACGAGGAGCTCCTGGAGGCTGTGGGAGGAAGAGCAGAAGGATGAGGAGGAAGGAAGAGAAGAAGAAGAGGAGGATGGACGAGGAGCTCCTGGAGGCTGTGGGAGGAAGAGTAGGAGAGCAGGAGGTAGAGGGAGGAGGAAGAAGAGGGAGAGGAGGATGATGGACGAGGAGCCCTGGAGGCTGTGGGAGGAAAGGAGGAAGAGGTGAAGAGGAAGAGGGAGGGAGGAAGAGGAAGAGAGAGGAGGATGGATGAGGAGCTCCTGGAGGTTGTGGGAGGTAGAGCAGGAGGAAGAGGTAGAGAAAGAGGGCGAGGAGGAGGAAGACAATACATCTGATACTAGACATACAATTACCACTAGCGGGGTGGACAGGATTTTACCAGCTGAATGGGATTGTATACCATTAAAGTAAAGGTCCAAGGGTGTAATGAATGTTCAGCAATTTTATACATCCATTAAGATAACATCCACTGACATATCTGAACTACTGTTGACAGCTCAATTTGACCCACCTCATCTCCTTTCGATTATGTGAGAAGCCAATTTCTGGTGTAACCTGCCGTGATATTGCTGGAATATTGCTAAAAGCGGTGTAAAACTAACTCACTCACTTGATTACACTGTACTGTTAGTCTGTCTCCCTACAGCCTAGCCCTCCCTGCAATGCTAAAGCCCTAAATGAATCAAGTCTAGATTTCCCCAGATCTCTGGTCTCCCTGGGCTCCTTTTCAAACTAAATGGGTTTATTAATTACAATCAGTCAGTGCAAAACAAATCCCACACTGTGTATCAAAAGTATTAACAATACATTTCCTGCCTTCTGTACTTCCTTCACAAACACAACCCATTGAGCAAATTCAACTTAATGTTTCTCTATTGCCCCTCCTATTCATCAAAGCAGGTGAAGTCTTTGTGCCACTCACGTCAGCATCTTGGTTTCGGGGATGTGTTGGTGGCGAAGGAGGTACGCCCGGAACTCTGGCGTCTGCTCCTTGCAGCGTTCGATTGCACGGAGAATGACTTCGTTGTTGTTGATGAAGTTGGTGTATGCCTTGAGCTGCAGACAGAACTTGACGAAGATGTCGCCGATGCATGTATGCTGGAAGCTCCAGTCCGCCAACCGGTTCTTCAGATCCTCGGTCAGCTGTCTGGAAGAGAGCAGTTTCAAGGTCATGTCAACGACTTGTAAAACTATGTCCATATACTGACCACCAACACTCAATGTGGTGGAATAGTCAAAGGAAACTCCCTTATGTCCATAAATCTGTCAGTTTGGACACGGGATAATCCTGTATTCTGATTGGTCAGCCAATAGTTACAATTATGATTTTGCTGATGAATATGCTAGTCATATATATTTAAAGTTATGCTGTAAAATATCTTCATGGAATATTATTAAGAACATGCTTCAACTATACACAGAACAACATGATGTCATAACAGCAAAGTGTGCTTGGAGCCAAATGTTGAGAGAAAAGTATGTGAATTTGCCAGCGAGTTTACCTGCTGATGATGAGTTTACATCATGTCATACATAGTGAGATCATCTGTTGAGTGAGTTTATCAGTGATGACAAGTTTACCAGCTGATGGTGAGTTTACATCATGTCATACATAGTGAGATCATCTGTTGAGTGTGAGTTTATCAGTGATGACAAGTTTACCAGCTGATGGTGAGTTTACCTCATGTCATACATAGTGAGATCATCTGTTGAGTGTGAGTTTATCAGTGATGACAAGTTTACCAGCTGATGGTGAGTTTACCTCATGTCATACATAGTGAGATCATCTGTTGAGTGTGAGTTTATCAGTGATGACAAGTTTACCAGCTGATGGTGAGTTTACCTCATGTCATACATAGTGAGATCATCTGTTGAGTGTGAGTTTATCAGTGATGACAAGTTTACAAGCTGATGGTGAGTTTACCTCATGTCATACATAGTGAGATCATCTGTTGAGTGTGAGTTTATCAGTGATGACAAGTTTACCAGCTGATGGTGACTTTACCTCATGTCATACATAGTGAGATCATCTGTTGAGTGTGAGTTTATCAGTGATGACAAGTTTACCAGCTGATGGTGTCTTTACCTCATGTCATACATAGTGAGATCATCTGTTGAGTGTGAGTTTATCAGTGATGACAAGTTTACCAGCTGATGGTGAGTTTACCTGATGGTGAGTTTCATGTCATACATAGTGAGATCATCTGTTGAGTGTGAGTTTATCAGTGATGACAAGTTTACCAGCTGATGGTGAGTTTACCTCAACGTCATACATAGTGAGATCATCTGTTGAGTGTGAGTTTATCAGTGATGACAAGTTTACCAGCTGATGGTGAGTTTACCTCAACGTCATACATAGTGAGATCATCTGTTGAGTGTGAGTTTATCAGTGATGACAAGTTTACCAGCTGATGGTGAGTTTACCTCATGTCATACATAGTGAGATCATCTGTTGAGTTCGAGTTTATCAGTGATGACAAGTTTACCAGCTGATGGTGAGTTTACCTCAACGTCATATATAGTGAGATCATCTGTTGAGTGTGAGTTTATCAGTGATGACAAGTTTACAAGCTGATGGTGACTTTACCTCATGTCATACATAGTGAGATCATCTGTTGAGTGTGAGTTTATCAATGATGACAACTTTACCAGCTGATGGTGACTTTACCTCATGTCATACATAGTGAGATCATCTGTTGAGTGTGAGTTTATCAGTGATGACAAGTTTACCAGCTGATGGTGAGTTTACCTCAACGTCATACATAGTGAGATCATCTGTTGAGTGTGAGTTTATCAGTGATGACAAGTTTACCAGCTGATGGTGACTTTACCTCATGTCATACATAGTGAGATCATCTGTTGAGTGTGAGTTTATCAATGATGACAACTTTACCAGCTGATGGTGAGTTTACCTCAACGTCATACATAGTGAGATCATCTGTTGAGTGTGAGTTTATCAATGATGACAACTTTACCAGCTGATGGTGACTTTACCTCAACGTCATACATAGTGAGATCATCTGTTGAGTGTGAGTTTATCAGTGATGACAAGTTTACCAGCTGATGGTGAGTTTACCTCATGTCATACATAGTGAGATCATCTGTTGAGTGTGAGTTTATCAGTGATGACAAGTTTACCAGCTGATGGTGACTTTACCTCATGTCATACATAGTGAGATCATCTGTTGAGTGTGAGTTTATCAGTGATGACAAGTTTACCAGCTGATGGTGAGTTTACCTCATGTCATACATAGTGAGATCATCTGTTGAGTGTGAGTTTATCAGTGATGACAAGTTTACCAGCTGATGGTGACTTTACCTCATGTCATACATAGTGAGATCATCTGTTGAGTGTGAGTTTATCAGTGATGACAAGTTTACCAGCTGATGGTGAGTTTACCTCATGTCATACATAGTGAGATCATCTGTTGAGTGTGAGTTTATCAGTGATGACAAGTTTACCAGCTGATGGTGAGTTTACCTCATGTCATACATAGTGAGATCATCTGTTGAGTTCGAGTTTATCAGTGATGACAAGTTTACCAGCTGATGGTGAGTTTACCTCAACGTCATATATAGTGAGATCATCTGTTGAGTGTGAGTTTATCAGTGATGACAAGTTTACCAGCTGATGGTGACTTTACTCCTTCATGTCATACATAGTGAGATCATCTGTTGAGTGTGAGTTTATCAATGATGACAACTTTACCAGCTGATGGTGACTTTACCTCATGTCATACATAGTGAGATCATCTGTTGAGTGTGAGTTTATCAGTGATGACAAGTTTACCAGCTGATGGTGAGTTTACCTCAACGTCATACATAGTGAGATCATCTGTTGAGTGTGAGTTTATCAGTGATGACAAGTTTACCAGCTGATGGTGACTTTACCTCATGTCATACATAGTGAGATCATCTGTTGAGTGTGAGTTTATCAATGATGACAACTTTACCAGCTGATGGTGAGTTTACCTCAACGTCATACATAGTGAGATCATCTGTTGAGTGTGAGTTTATCAATGATGACAACTTTACCAGCTGATGGTGACTTTACCTCAACGTCATACATAGTGAGATCATCTGTTGAGTGTGAGTTTATCAGTGATGACAAGTTTACAAGCTGATGGTGAGTTTACCTCATGTCATACATAGTGAGATCATCTGTTGAGTGTGAGTTTATCAGTGATGACAAGTTTACCAGCTGATGGTGACTTTACCTCATGTCATACATAGTGAGATCATCTGTTGAGTGTGAGTTTATCAGTGATGACAAGTTTACCAGCTGATGGTGACTTTACCTCATGTCATACATAGTGAGATCATCTGTTGAGTGTGAGTTTATCAGTGATGACAAGTTTACAAGCTGATGGTGAGTTTACCTCATGTCATACATAGTGAGATCATCTGTTGAGTGTGAGTTTATCAGTGATGACAAGTTTACCAGCTGATGGTGAGATTACCTCATGTCATACATAGTGAGATCATCTGTTGAGTGTGAGTTTATCAGTGATGACAAGTTTACCAGCTGATGGTGAGTTTACCTCATGTCATACATAGTGAGATCATCTGTTGAGTGTGAGTTTATCAGTGATGACAAGTTTACAAGCTGATGGTGAGTTTACCTCATGTCATACATAGTGAGATCATCTGTTGAGTGTGAGTTTATCAGTGATGACAAGTTTACCAGCTGATGGTGAGATTACCTCATGTCATACATAGTGAGATCATCTGTTGAGTGTGAGTTTATCAGTGATGACAAGTTTACCAGCTGATGTTGAGTGAGTTTATCCGTTAAATCGTGAGTTTACATGAGATGGAGAATTGACCTGGTAATATCCAGTTTACCTGCTGATGGTGAGTTTACCCAGTAATGCTGAGTTTACCTATAGAGTGAATTTATCAGCTGAAGGTGACATCACCCAGTCAGTTTAACTGACAGTGAGAGTTTGAGAGTAAGAATTGACCTGATAATGGCGAGTTTACCTGCTGATGGTGAGGATGGCCATGACATCGGTGAAGATGACATGTAGATTCTGACTGCTGATGATTGCCCTGGAAAACGAAACAAACAGGAAATCTTACAGAAGGTGAGCAAGTTGGCTTTACAAAGTATATCCGTCTTTTATCTCATGACATGCCATTATGGGTGAAACTTTGGTAAAACCAAGAAAATCGACATAATGACAAACCAAGCTTCATAATCTCATCAAATGTGGGATTCAAACCCACACCCAGCTGATCGTGATTCATACCACAGAGACACCCATGACCAAGGTTAAAGTTTATTGGCAAAAAGACTATGATTCCTTTGAATATATACTTTTCTATTCACTGTTAAACCATTCTTCTCAATCACTGTAACATGGCCTGACCTGTTGGCAGTGAGAGCTGACTTGAGAGGCTTGTAGTAGACGTCCCGGACCGCTCGTAACATGCGGTTGTACTCCATCTCACTGGTGAGAATCTCGAACGCTATCGGAGTCCGCTTCTCAGGGTGTTCAGTGAACTGCTGGGATGTCTTGACAGAGAACGGGAGACATGGTGAATGTAGGACACAACACGTCTACTGAAGATCATGAAGTGTGTACAAACACTTGTATTGAACAACCCTTGCTTGGGTTGATAAAAGTGATGCAGTTTCATCTTGACATGCTAACATAGATATGCATAACAATGGTAAGAAAGACAAAGTTTCAGACTTAATGTCTCTAGCAGGGAACTGTGTCAAACGGGTCTGTTAGTTCACACCAGTCTTAATGGTCTATGAGGTGTCTTTGTTCTTAGTAACCGTATCAAATAACATATTGCTCACACGTGAACACTTGTGGTTGAGTCACACCAGTTAATACATAACACTGCCTGTTGCATGTTAAAAGGATTGCATTAACTCAAGAAACACTAAGATCCTGTACAGACACCATCAGTGATGTTACCGATCTCTTTTGAATATTTCCCTGATTTGGAATTTCCTGCTGATTTATGAAAGTCAAGCAGTTGGTGCAAAATTTGTGATATTATGACTCAAACAGCTGTCATCCCATAATATGGAATTCCACGTCTACAGTCTTGTTATCATTTTTGTTTTGTTGGTTTTGGTCAACACTGAGGCTACTGGTATAAATATCATGACTAATGTTAGAGAAACTACCAGCCGCTAGGGAGGTGGGGTAACCTAGTGGTTAAAGTGTTCGCTCGTCACGCCGACAACCCAGATTTGATTCCCCACATGGGTACAATGTGTGAAGCTCATTTCTGGTGTCCCCGCTGTGATATTTGCTGGAATATTGCTAAAAGCGGCGTAAAACTAAACTCACACACTCACTCACCAGCCGCTGGGACTTGGTTGCTCGGAGGGTGCCGGTCGTCATGGTGCCGAACTTGTTCCTGAGGTCCTGCGTCTTGAGGGTGACTGTCTTCCTCTCCATCGTCACTTCCTGTTGACGCAATATGTTCTTCTCATCCTTTGATATCTTCTCCTGGCTGTCATACTTCTCAGCCGGGTCCATCTGTGGGTCATCTGCAACAACAACAACAACAGCGACAATGTCAACTGCACTTCACATTATATGATATAGGTCACATTCTGAAAATTATACATCTAGTAAAGAGAGCTCCATTATATCACACTTTATAGGATCCAGAGAAAGGGAGGGAGTGATAGTGTATGGTTCATGCAATACTCAAGAAATATCATGGCAGGGGGCACCCAAAATCAGTTTGGACCCGATTTCGCAGATTGGGTAATACAGCTTGGTATTTTGGTGGAAATCGAACTAGGGTGTCGATGTAACTGGCTAATGCTTTAACCACTAGGCTACCCACCACATGAACCATGTCATGATCCATACATCACATGACATGTCATGATCCAAACATCACATGACATGATCCATACATCACATGACATGATCCATACACATGATGTCATGATCCATACACATGATGTCATGATCCACACATCACATGACATGATCCATACATCAGGCGACATGACATGATCCTTACATCACGATCCATACGTCACATGACATGATCCATACATCACATGACATGTCATGATCCACACATTACATGACATGTCATGATCCATACACATGACATGTCATGATCCATACATCACATGACATATCATGATCCATCCATCACATGACAAGTCATGATCCATACATCACATGACATGATCCATACATCACATGACATGATCCATACATCACATGACATGATCCATACACCACATGACATGTCATGATCCATCCATCACATGACATGTCATGATCCATACATCACATGACATTATCCATACATCACATGACATGATCCATACATCACATGACATGTCATGATCCACACATCACATGACATGTCATGATCCATACATCACATGACATGATCCATACACCAAATGACATGTCATGATCCATACATCACATGACATGTCATGATCATCCATCAAATGAAGCATTGGTTATACTTCCTCTATGGTTGCCGAGACTTAGTTAGGAGCCATGATATAACTAGCGTTTAACAACATTCACTCACTCACTCTACCAGACATCAGTCACACACCTCTCTCCCCGCGGTCCTCCTTCTCATCCTCATCCTCCTGCTGGGAGTGGTCGCTGGTGATTTGTTCCACCTCACGGTCCAGGGAGGAGTCAGCGCCACCTTCACGTCCTGGCGTGGTGTCCCGACCGCGCCGTTCTGCCGTTCTGCTTGTCGTGTCTGTGCATAAAGCAGATGTCAAGATTAGGTATGAAACGAAGAAGTCACTTCATTCCCAAGTGTAAATTGGCTCCACGCCATTTTCCCACTTTTATGGCAGTCGTGGTTGCTGAGCGGGTTAGGCAGCTGACTTTGTGTGCTGGCGATTTGGTGCCTGACTCTGAGGGTGTGGGTTCGAATCCCGGATGGGACTCAAACCAAAAGTACTAGAATCTGTACTTTAGAAAGAAAGTGTAATCCCAAATATAACATATTACATTTGACCACTTTCTAAATGGCATTGTGTAATCACACAGACAGACACACACACAATATATATATTTATTGCTTAGTGATTTAAATGTAAAATTTGTGTGTGAGCCTGGACTAAGTTTGATAGTACTCACTGAAATATCTTGTTTAACATGGATACCCAGCTATGAGATAGTAGAACTGCCAGGACCAAGGAAACAGTCATTGTTTTTTTCTACATACATAAATACTGACCCGAGCCAAGTTATCAGCTTTCGTTGTCATGGAGATCTCTGTGACCCCTGCCTGCTCCAGGAGATACTGACCCAGGTACTCTAGAGGTTGAACCTAGAAGCAAGGAAGACAAGAGTTACTATACAAATCCATGAACAGAGCAGTGTGCTTGGATGCGGATTGAAATGAAGCGTGAACGTCATCACCCTGACATTAAAATCAAAGAGTAAGGGAATCCCTCGATTCAAATCAAAGAAGACCCCATTCCAGCCTTAATTCCTAACTCTGCCTGGTTCTCTTTAATCCTGTTTTATCGTGATGTCTTAAAACATATTATAGGTTCTGTGACATTCTCTAAAGCATAAAATCAAACATTTTTCAAATACATGTAAGTTATACAACAATGTCGTGTACAAAATGTGACATGATATTTGTGAAAAAACATATAGCTTCAATGACACTGATGTGGAAATAGTTACTGTTTGTAGCTAAATAAGTTTAGATTTTTGGCTTGAAGGCATAAAATGACAAGGAAGTGTAAAACTTAATAACATGCTAAATGTCATCTGGATAATCGAATCTAAATTTGGATTGTGCCTTGACAGTTACTGAAATATTGATGGCAAGAAGAAGGGAACGTACATTGCTCTGACTCCCTAGGGCTACGAGTCCGTCAGTGAGGGCCTGTGTGATTGAGTGAGTCCCCTGGATGTCAGTCTGACCCAGTGCGTCAAACATGACCTGACCTGAACAGAGACATAGCTTATTCTCAGATACATCAACAAGAAAATAATTGTGATATAAAAATTATTTCTGCAGCATTGAATCTCTATGAATGATCAAGAGAAAATTTATTATTGTAATCAGTGATTGTTTCAGTAATTTTATATCAGAGGTTATGGACAATACTCTACTGAGTGAGTGAGTGAGTGAGAGAAAAAGTGAGAGCAAGAGTGAGTGAGAGAGAGAGTGAGAGGGAGGGAGGAGTGAGTGAGTGAGTGAGCAAGAGTGTGTGAGAGTTAGCAAGCAAGAGTGAGAGAGAGAGAAAGAGTGATTGCTCAAATGACAGTTACCAGACTGTATGACTAGGCTGATAACATCAATCACTGGATTGTCTGGTCCAGCATTGTTATGAACAGCCTACCACCAGTAGCTTGTATACTGCTGAGTGACAGACTGTAACAGACAAGGTGTACCATATTTATTGAACTGTGTACTGACCGGTAAGCTGAGCTGCAATGTCTCGATGGACCTTCTCGAAGTACGGCGCCATGATCTGCCGACAGTCTGTGATTGCTTCCAGGGCCTGATCAGCCACATTTGCCCACACCCGGAGCTTGCTGGGACAGAAATACTTATCTGTGGGCTGGCAGTCCTTGTATGGAATCAGCCACTCCGTGTTCACTGAAACAAATAGAGAGGGAAAGTCAATCTCAATACAACAGTAGGAGTTCATGTCACATAAGTTGGAGCCAGTTTTTACTGAGACTCCGTCAGTCTCACTTTCCCTGAACCATAGCATTTCCCTTTTCCACACAGCCCTTACATAATCCAAAACCCTAACAGAAGCAACTCTAAAGTTAGCTCAGGTTCAGGTTTTGAATTCCCCATCTTGCTGGGGCTCCTTTATAAATATATTTAAATGGAGTTAATTATTCTATCAAAATTACGGTGAGTCTAGCTGAGACTCACCATAAATGGAAGAAACTGATGTTACCGGGCACTCTAAATTCATTGTAGGAGCCCATGTTACCCAATATTCACCAAGGTTGTGGAAAAGACTCACCATTGATTGTAGCACCAAATGTTATCCGAGACTCTCCACTGATTTATACCGAGGACTCACAACTGATTGATGTAGCCAATGTTATCCAGGACTCACCATTGATTGTACTAGTCAATGTTACCAAAGACTCACCACTGATTGAAATAGCCAATGTTACCCAAAAATTACCATTGACTACTGAAGTAAAATGTTACCCAGGCTTCTCCATTGATTGAAGTAGCCAGCGTTACCCAGGCTTCCATTGATTGAAGTAGCCAATGTTACCCAGGATTCATCACGATTGATTACTCGAGTAGATTGATTACGTTACATGAGACTCACCATGATTGCAGTAGCCAGTGTTAACCCAGACTCACCATGATTGTAGGAGCTGATGTAACCCAGACTCACCATGATTGTAGGAGCTGATGTAACCCAGACTCACCATGATTGTAGGAGCTGATGTAACCCAGACTCACCATGATTGTAGGAGCTGATGTAACCCAGACTCACCATGATTGTAGGAGCTGATGTAACCCAGACTCACCATGATTGTAGGAGCTGATGTAACCCAGACTCACCATGATTGTAGGAGCTGATGTAACCCAGGACTCACCATGATTGTAGGAGCTGATGTAACCCAGACTCACCATGATTGTAGGAGCTGATGTAACCCAGACTCACCATGATTGTATGAGCTGATGTAACCCAGACTCACCATGATTGTAGGAGCTGATGTAACCCAGACACACCATGATTGTAGGAGCTGATGTAACCCAGACTCACCATGATTGTAGGAGCTGATGTAACCCAGACTCACCATGATTGTAGGAGCTGATGTAACCCAGACTCACCATGATTGTAGGAGCTGATGTAACCCAGACTCACCATGATTGTAGGAGCTGATGTAACCCAGACTCACCATGATTGTAGGAGCTGATGTAACCCAGACTCACCCATGATTGTAGGAGCTGATGTAACCCAGACTCACCATGATTGTAGGAGCTGATGTAACCCTAGACTCACCATGATTGTAGGAGCTGATGTAACCCAGACTCACCATGATTGTAGGAGCTGATGTAACCCCAGACTCACCATGATTGTAGGAGCTGATGTAACCCAAACACACCATGATTTATAGGAGCTGATGTAACCCAGACTCACCATGATTGTAGGAGCTGATGTAACCCAGACTCACCATGATTGTAGGAGCTGATGTAACCCAGACTCACCATGATTGTAGGAGCTGATGTAACCCAGACTCACCATGATTGTAGGAGCTGATGTAACCCAAGACTCACCATGATTGTAGTAGGAGCTGATGTAACCCAGACTCCACCATGATTGTAGGAGCTGATGTAACCCAAACTCACCATGATTGTAGGAGCTGATGTAACCCAGACTCACCATGATTGTAGGAGCTGATGTAACCCAAACTCACCATGATTGTAGGAGCTGATGTAACCCAAACTCACCATGATTGTAGGAGCTGATGTAACCCAAACTCACCATGATTGTAGGAGCTGATGTAACCCAGACACACCATGATTGTAGGAGCTGATGTAACCCAAACCTCACCACCATGATTGTAGGAGCTGATGTAACCCAGACTCACCATGATTGTAGGAGCTGATGTAACCCAAACACACCATGATTGTAGGAGCTGATGTAACCCAGACACACCATGATTGTAGGAGCTGATGTAACCCAGACTCACCATGATTGTAGGAGCTGATGTAACCCTAGACTCACCATGATTGTAGGAGCTGATGTAACCTAGACTCACCATGATTGTAGGAGCTGATGTAACCCAGACTCACCATGATTGTAGGAGCTGATGTAACCCAGACTCACCATGATTGTAGGAGCTGATGTAACCCAGACTCACCATGATTGTAGGAGCTGATGTAACCCAGACTCACCATGATTGTAGGAGCTGATGTAACCCAGACTCACCATGATTGTAGGAGCTGATGTAACCCAGACTCACCATGATTGTAGGAGCTGATGTAACCCAGACTCACCATGATTGTAGGAGCTGATGTAACCCAGACTCACCATGATTGTAGGAGCTGATGTAACCCAGACTCACCATGATTGTAGGAGCTGATGTAACCCAGACTCACCATGATTGTAGGAGCCAATGATCCCGGTTGGAGAGGAGAACTGAATCCCCGTGAGGACACTGAGCTGAACCATCAGCTCCATCCCAGCCTCTGTAACATGGAACTCACTCAGTGAGGTGGGCTTCTTTATATTGAACAGTTATTACCATATTCTCACAGCATATCAACTTTACATGAGATTAAAGCACAATTTCAAGTCTGACACTTATTGCTTGTTTAAAATCTACACATGCATAGACTGTAATATATGCTGAAAGACCAAGAGTCATAACTGGATAATAATTGAGTCAAAAGTTTGATATGTAAAATGAACCAACAGAAATTATGGATGAAGGTGAAAGGGTCCTTTAATTTAATGATGTAAGGCAAGGAGGGCAGATGTTGTGGTCAAAGCTTCCTCTGTTGGGTTCAACACTCAGCTTCCATACCCATGTCAAGTGTGGGAAACTACTTAACGAGCTGAATGGTTTTGTCCAAATTCAGTCTTGTGGTGTGCTCTGCCCAAAGTGACCAGTGAAGATCTGGGTTAGAGTGAGTGAGTGAGTTGGGTTTTACACCACTTTTAGCAATATTCCAGCAAGATCACGGCGGGGGACACCAGAAATGGGCTTCACACATTGTGCTCATGTGTGGAATCGAACCCAGGCCTTCAGCGTGACGAGCAAAAGCTTGATCTGTTTTAGAATTGATGTTAGCAACCAATGTTTGTTGTAAGAAGTGACTACTGGGACCGGGTGGTCAGACTCGCTGACTTTCATGTCAACGTTTCCCAACTACATACATCAATGCTCATGATGTCAATCACTGGATTGTCTAACTGAGACTCCACTATTCACAGACCGCTGTCACATTGCTGGAACATTGAAGAGTGTGGAAAAAACCAGCAAATCTACGTATAGTGTCATGAAGCGACTTTGGAATACATCAGCCTCTCACCTGACGCAGCCAGGGGGGCGAACACATCCAGCTGTCCCCCCATGTTGGAGGGGAGGATGTGGTTGGCCACAGTCTCAAAGAACTCGCAGGACTCTGAGGCATCGTAGTTGTTGATGTTGACTGTGCAGCCATGGACAAGACAGATGTTGCCTGGCTCATCCGAATGTGTAAACAGACCAACACTCCTGAAAACAGTGATGGTTACAAAAGTAATACATATAAAATTAACTGGCAAGGGTTAAAGATTCATCAACATAAATCTTTTTTCAAGCAATAAATGAATTGTTGAGAGTACATACTGTGCATTCCTGCCCTGTAGAACTGTATCAATCTGATGCATCAGTGTCTCCGTGCTCGTTCCTTCGTACTCGTACACGATGGGGATAACACCAAACATCACAGCGAATCACACAGCAGCTGCAGATACAGAAACAGATACAGAAACAGACATGAGACAGAGTTACAGATCCCTGACACAGACGCAGACACAGATACAGATCCCGACTACACAGATGCAGACACAGAAACAGATGCAGACACAGAAACAGACACAGATGCAGACACAGATACAGACACAGAAACAGATACAGACACAGACACAGACACAGATAAGACAGACACAGATACAGAAACAGATACAGATACAGAAACAGACACAGATCCAGACACAGATGCAGATACAGATACAGAACAGATACAGAGACACAGAGACAGATACAGAATACAGACAGACAGACACAGATACAGACACAGAGATACAGACAGAGCATACAGATACAGACGAAACAGATACAGAGACAGATGCAGACAGATACAGATACAGATACAGACAGATACAGAGAGAAACAGATGCAGATACAGATGACAGACGAGATACAGAGACAGATACAGGCAGACACAGATACAGACACAGATACACAGATACAGACACAGACGACACAGATACAGACAGAAACAGACAGATACAGAGACAGAAACAGACGAGATACAGAAACAGATGCAGATACAGATACAGAGACAGATACAGATACAGATACAGACGAGATACAGACACAGAGACAGACAGACAGATACAGACACAGACAGACGCAGACACAGAAACAGATACAGAAACAGACAGATACAGAGACAGACAGATACAGATACAGACAGACGAGACAGATACAGAGACAGACGCGGAGACAGATACAGACACAGATAGATACAGACGACAGATACAGATACAGACGCAGAGACAGAGACAGATACAGATACAGACTTAGACGCAGATACAGAGACAGAGACACAGACACAGATACAGAGACAGAGACAGACACAGATCCACAGAAACAGATACAGAAACAGACGCAGACAGAGTTACAGATCCCACACAGATGCAGACATACAGAGAAGAAATAGATACAGAGAGAGATACAGACGAGACACATATACAGACAGACGAGACACAGATACAGAGACAGAAACAGATACTGACTGACTGACTGAGTTTGGTTTTACGCGCTTTAGCAATATTCCAGCAACATCAACGGGCGGGGACACCAGAAATGCAGAAACAGATACAGAGACAGAGACAGATACAGAAACACTGACGAGAAACAGATACAGACACAGATACAGAAAGAGATACACACACAGAAACAGACGCAGACACAGATACAGATACAGACACAGACACAGATGCAGACACAGACACAGACACCAGTTGGTCTTCAGTAACCCATACTTGTCGTAAGAGGCCACTAATGGGATCGGGTGGCCAGACCACTGACTTGGTTGACATGTCATCGTATCCCAAGTGTGTAGATTGATGCTCATGTTGTTGATCACTGGAATGTCTGGTCCAGACTTGATTATTTACAGACCGCTGCCATATGGCTGGAATATTGCTGAGTGTGGCGTTAAAAAACAAACAAACAAAACAAACCACACAAGTTGACAATCTGCTCGGTTTTAGTTTAACACCGACTCAGCAATATTCTAGCTGCACAACAGTGGCTTGTAAATAAAGAGAAACCAAAGCTGTATATTGTGAAAAGCAATCCACACTATTTGCACTATCTGATAAGTCACAAAGTCTGACCACCTTATCCAGTAAGTCACTTCGTACAATACCAGCAGGCATATAGCTCAACTCACTCACTCACTCATAGAATACCCAATAATCCGTGGAGATCATTTCTAAGCAAGAATCTCCACAGTTTGACCTGGCTGAAATCATTAACTGACCATAACATCTGACATAACAGTGTGATGTAGCTGAAGGGTGGTCAGGTGATGTGGTTGATACCATCTCATCGGACCCCAAATGAAGTCGAATGTAGCCCGAAATGTGAGTCAGTTTGGTCAAGACGCTATATATTTTCTCTCCGCCGTCAATATGGGATATTGATGAGTGTGACAATATCAACCCTCACAACTTACACAGATTGTACAGAATTGAGACAACGTATTCATCAGTCGGCAAGATTAGCCACTAGTCCAAAGCCTGTACCTAGTCAAAGTCTGTTTGGTCTACTAAGCTCAGTAGTCCATGTAACACAGATATACTACTACTATTGAAAATAATGCTCAGAGCCATGTCTAAGAGATTAATGTCATCGTATCCCAATTGGCACAGAGAGATTGAAGCACCTGCACCCCATACAACTGCTCCAGCATCAGACACTGACTTGTACATCTCAATGACACGGATTATTCCAACATGTTCTGTAACCTCACCTCTGCTGCAGGGACTCTGGATGAGATGAAGACGATGCGAGGTGTTGCCATCACCTGACTGCCACCAGGGGGAAGTGCGTTCACCTGGTTGTTACGGATGGGATACCCTCCACCTCCCGACAGGTCAGATCTGTAGTTTTAGTTGAGAGCCATTAATTAACTTAGCAAAGACGTTCACACACTTTCTTAACAACGAGTCTGGATTAATGCCAGTTAACAGTATTTCAGTCACTCACTCCTGACCACACCTTCCTCTCCCTCCACCCACCCCCTGACCACACCTTCCTATCCCCCACCCACCTCCTGACAATACCTTCCTCTCCCTCCAACCACCCCCTGACCACACCCTCCTATCCCCAACCCACTTCCTCACACACCTTCCTCTCCCTCCACCCACCCCTGACCACACCTTCCTATCCCGACCACTTCCTGACAATACCTTTCCTCTCCCTCCACCCACCTCCTGACAATACCTTCCTCTCCCTCCACCCACCTCCTGAAAATACCTTCCTCTCCCTCCACCCACCATGACTCCAGACCACCTCCTGCACCTTCCTCCCATCCCTCCTGACCACCTTCACTCTCCTCCTCCACCCACCTCTCCTGTCAACACCTTCCTCCCTCCGCCCTCCTGGACGTAAGCACCTTCTCCTCCCCACCACACCTCCTCCACCGACCTCCTGACCACCTCTCCCTCCACCGACCTCACCTTCCTCTCCCTCCACCTCACCTCCTGACCACACCTTCCTCTCCCTCTCCACCCACCTCCACCTTCCTCCTCCACCACCTTACCACTCCTGTCCCTCCTCCACCCACCTCCTGACCACACCCTCCTCTCCCTCCACCCACCTCCTGACAATACCTTCCTCACCCTCCACCCTCCTGACCTGGACCACACCTTCCTCTCCTCCCACCTTCCTGACCACACCTTCCTCTCCCTCCACCCACCTCCTGACCACACCTTCCTCTCCCTACACCTACCTCCTGACCTTCCTCTCCCACACCAACCTCCTGATCCCCACCCCTTCCTCTCCTCCTTGCCTCCCTCCCCTCCACCCACCCCCTGACCACACCTTCCTCCTCCCCCCCACCCACCTCCTGACAACATTCCTCTCCGACTCCCCCACCAACCACCTCCTGACAATACCTTCCCTCCCTCACCCACCTCCTGACCCACACCTTCCTCTCCCTCCACCCACACCTTCCCTCCCTCCACCCACCTCCTGACCACCTTCCTCCTCCCACCCACCTCCACCTTCCTCCCTCCTGACCTCCACACCTTCCTCTCTTCTCCAATCCCACCTCCTGACCACACCCTCCTCCTCCCTCTCCACCCACCTCCCAACCCTGCCCTGACCACATGTCTTTCCTCTCCCTCCACCCACACCTTTCCTCCTCTCTCCTCCGCACCTCCTTCCTCCTGACTCACACACCTTCCCTCCTCTCTCCACCTTCCTCCTGACCACACCCCTTCCTTCTCTCCAACCCACCTCCTGACAATACTCCTTCCTCTCCTCCACCCACCTCCTGACCACACCTTCCTCTCCCCTCCACCCACCTCCTGACCACACCCTCCTCCCTCCCTCCCACCCACCTCCTGACCACTCCTTCCTCTCCCTCCCTCCCTCCTCCTGACCACACCTTCCTCTCCACAACCCACTCACCTCCCCTCCACCACACCTCTCCCTCCACCCACCCTGTCCACCCACCTCCTATTCCTTCCTGGCACCCACCACCTCTCCTTCCTCTCCTCTCCACCCACCTCCCTGACCTACCTCTCCTCCACCTCCATTCCACCTCCTCCCTCCTCCAATACCTTTACCCTCCCTCCACCCACCCCCTGACCACACCTTCCCTCCCTCCACCCACCTCCCACCACCTTCCTCTCCCCTCCACACCCACCTCCCTGGACCTCCACCTCCCTCCCACCCTCCTGACCACACCTTCCCCTCCCTCCTTCCACCCACCTCCTGGACCACACCTTCCTCTCCCTCCATCCACCCCACCTCCCTGACCACACCTTCCTCTCCCTCCACCCACCTCCTGACCACACCTTCCTCTCCCTCACACCCCTCCCTCCACCACACACCTTCCTCTCCCTCCACCCACCTCCTCCACCACCACCTTCCTCTCCTTCCCTCCACTGACCTCACCTTCCCCCTACACCCTCCTCCTGACCACACCTTCCTCTCCCTCCACCCCACCTCCTGACCACACCTTCCTCTCTCCCTCCACCCACCTCCCCTCCCACACCTTCCTCTCTCCCCCTCCCTGACCACACCTTCCTCTCCCTCCACCTTTCCTCCTGACCACACACCCTCCTGACCCACCACCTTCCCTCTCTCTCCACCCACCTCCTGACAACACCTTCCCCTCTTTCCACCCACCTCCTGGCAACACCTTTCCTCTCCCTCCACCCACCTCCTGACCACACCTTCCCCCTCTCCTCCAACCTCCCCCCACCCTCTCTCCACCCACCCCTCCTCCTGGCAACACCTTCCTCTCCCTCCACCCCCCTGACCACACCTTTCCCTCTCTCCACCCACCACCTCCTGACCACACCACCTCTCTCTCCACCCACCTCCTGACCACACCTTCCTCTCCTCCTCCACCCACCTCCTGATGACACCCACCCTCCTCTCCCTCCAACCACCCCTGACCACACCTTCCTCTCCATCCTCCCACCTTCTGACCACACCTTCCTCTCCCTTATCGATTACCTTCTCATGCCTGTCCTGTTTGGAGGCAGACCATTTGTCTCCACAAGTTCTCGAAACCTTGTCTCGGCTATATTCTCCAGGTGGATAACTTCTGACAGTGTACGGTTGTTGACTTTACGAGGATCATAGTCCGCTCCCGACTATGATCAAACATAAAATACATCTAAGTATGTTCATTTTTAAAGCAATATAGTTTTGGAACATAATGAATGAAAATTTCTCCAAATGTGTTGCAATACAGGCAGAATATGGAAAAGTACATGAAAAGGTGAGAGGCGGTTTAATCTCAGATGGTAATATGAATATGTAGTACACATGATGAAATATATAAACTACTGTTTGCTTTCCAATATTTAATGAAATGAATGTATCAAATTCACAATAATTAGCACACTGGATTCTGTAAAAGACATTTGACACAAAAGGAAGCACATCAAATGTATAAACAGAATGTTTGTCGTCAGAGATGAAACAGTAGTGAACAAATTAGTTCAAATATTTTTGATATTTGCTTTCTGCCATGACATTTATTTTAAAACAGATCTGAAACATTAACATGAAAATATGGTCTGTCAATAAAGGGAGATAATGCAACGTATCCAAACACAACTCACAATAAGTCGATGTCGTTCTCTCCTGCGACTTGTGTCTAAACCGATTCTCAAAATCCAGCGACTTTGACACGGAAGTCTCGTGTTGTTTGCGTATAATGCCCCACCGATTATGAAGGACCAAAGCTGATTTGGGAAGGTCAGGGTCATTTGGGTTCTTCTCGGTTACCATGGCGATGTGCGACTTCTGAAGGTCCTGGGGCTTGTAGTCTGGACCCTGCCATGGCGGCCGCACATCCATCAACCGACCTACCAACCATTCAGTTATCTCAGTCATATCTTCACAAGCAAGTTTCAAAACCTACCAAAACATCATGCAATTACAACAAAGACTAAACCAATAAATGTCTTGTTTCATGCTACTGTATCGTACACCATGTAACATTCATACTCCCAAGGCAAGAGTGTCAACTAGCCAATATCAAAGCCAAGTGTGGGCACTTGACCTTTAATGCTGATTCGTCTGTGCTAAAACTGCAAATGAGGACTAAAGCTTGTAGCAAAGTCCAGTCTGAGAACATCTGACGAAAGCAACATCCAGGAATCGGAAAAACATGGCTATCACCTGTCAAATTTGCACTAAAATGTTTTAGAAAATTAAGGCACAATGTCACACCACATTTCTGTGATGGAAACTAGGTGCTATACAACTACAAGCCAATTATTATTATTACATAGTGACTTACGACTGTCTGATGAGTCAAGTCGGTTGGGCTTCGTTCGGACATTCTTCTTGTTTTGCCAGCGGGAACCATCTGACCTTGTGCCGTAGAGGTCATCCTGACAGAATCATGGGATTAGTCTACATTCATTATCTATTCATCCTCATCTGCGACATAAAGCCCTATGTCTGGAGTAAAATTCCTAACATAGGATTCTGAAAAAAAGACTGAAATACACCACCATCCCTGGCAGACACTGCAAAATTATGAAATTCTTCTGGGATTCACATTTCTGTGCAGTTTGAATATGCATCTTCCAGTTAGTTCTGTTTAACATATAGGGTTCTAGAATACCAGAATCGGACAAAGATAATTATATTTGATGTTTACCTTTCGTAAATTCTCAATTATTTCAAACATTTATAGTGAAATAATGTAAAACTAAGCACACAAGACTCTCATTTTTTATTATCAGTGATTGCAGATTAATGTCCTAAATTAGTTATAACTATAAGTTCTATAATTTTAGAATATACATATGGTATAGGAATACATGGTATTTCATTATCACAAATGTGTCAACCGGCAATTTTAAATAAAGGCAAGCTTGCCATTCTCAGAGATAAAATGCTTCAACAAAGACTTGGTTGCCATAGCAATACGCACAATATGAATCAATGAGTGAATTTGGGTTCCCTCACCATGCCGCTCCCCGAAACGTAGTCAAGCGTCTGGACACAGGCGATATAGTGTCTCTTCCATGCCCCATACTCGTTGTCTGCCGATGTGTAAGGCAGGAACCAGCCGTACTTGAGACACTTGCTCGCCCACACCTCGTCCTAAGAAACGACACCCATTGGTCAGTTTTTTAAATCATGTGACGTCCTAGGTCAACTTTTAACATGAGACATTAACAGGCCTGCTCGGTGTAGAACTTACACTACTGAGCTGCAAACACTTTGTTGCATGAGGTACTGGACAAAAATAGACAAGCTAATGGAAGAACTTACTGACTTACTACAGTCGTAGCTACGATGAGTTAGTGAAATGGGCACTGTATGCCAACAGACCTGTTCATTAAAGAACTTACAGATTTTCGACAGACATAGCAGTCACTTTGATATATCTGCACTAGACATAAAGAGACATGCACACTGGACAGCTTACAACAGTCGTAGCTATGTTCACTTTGTGAAATAGGCACTATATATACCAACAGAAGTGTTCATTGAAGAACTTATAGACTTTTCATAAGCCATGATCACATTGTTTGTTACAGACATACAACAGTCGTAGCTACGATCACTTTGTTAACTGAAGCAGTGGACACCAACAAACTTGTTCAGTGAGGAACTTATAGACTTAAGACAGTCTTGGCTACGATCACTTTGTTAAATGAAACAGCGGACACCAAAAATAAACAAGAGTCATCAGAAGATGACAAATCCCCCCGGCCCCCCCAAATTTGAAAGAACAAATCAAGTCCAGCTTGATTTGTTTTTTAGACTATGTCCAAATCGTTTCCATGGAAATCACGTGAAATATAAATGCCAAAAATCTGTAAATAGCAAAAGGCACCACTGTCTCATATATGTGCCAAGTTCTGCTGAAAGATGTTGAACGCTTTTCGAGTTGTGCTCCGGAAATGAAACCCACCCCTCCCTTTTGCGACTAAGTCCGAATCGTTTCCATGGAAACCGGGAATAATAAATCTGCCAAAAATCTGCCAAATAGCAAAAGGCACCACTTTTGGCATCTGCCTCATATATCTGCCAAGTTTTGCTGAAAGATATTAAGAAGTTTTCGAGTTGTGCTCCGGAAACGAAGCCCACCCCTCCCTTTCAAGACTAAGTCTGAATCGTTTCAATAGAAACCGGGAAAAATAAAAATGCCAAAAATCTGTAAATAGCAAAAGGCACCACTTAAGGTTCTGTTTGATATATCTACCAAGTTTTGTTGAAAAATATTAAAAGGTTTTTGAGTTGTACTCTGGAAACCAAATGATTACGGACGGACGGACGGACGGACAGGCGGACGTGGCGTCGCCTACATCCCCCCGCATTACATGCTGGGGGGATAAAAACATATTCATTCAGTAAGGAACTTATAGATTTAAGACAGTCGTAGCTACGATCACTTTGTTAAATGAAGCAGTGGACACCAACAAACTTGCTCAGCGAGGAACTTATAGACGTCACACAGTCGTAGCTACGATCACTTTGTTAAATGAAGCAGTGGACACCAACAAACTTGCTCAGCGAGGAACTTATAGACGTAACACAGTCGTAGCTACGATCACTTTGTTAAATGAAGCAGTGGACACCAACAAACTTGCTCAGCGAGGAACTTATAGACGTAACACAGTCGTAGCTACGATCACTTTGTTAAATGAAGCAGTGGACACCAACAAACTTGCTCAGCGAGGAACTTATAGACGTAACACAGTCGTAGCTACGATCTCTTTGTTAAAGGAGGCATCGGACACCAACATACTTGCTCAGCGAGGGAACTTAGGCGTAACACGGTAACACGATCACTTTGTTAAATGAAGCAGTGGACACCAACAAACTTGCTCAGCGAGGAACTTATAGACGTAACACAGTCGTAGCTACGATCTCTTTGTTAAAGGAGGCAGTGGACACCAACATACTTGCTCAGCGAGGAACTTATAGATGTAACACAGTCGTAGCTACGATCACTTTGTTAAATGAAGCAGTGGACACCAACAAACTTGCTCAGCGAGGAACTTATAGACGTCACACAGTCGTAGCTACGATCACTTTGTTAAATGAAGCAGTGGACACCAACAAACTTGCTCAGCGAGGAACTTATAGACGTCACACAGTCGTAGCTACGATCACTTTGTTAAATGAAGCAGTGGACACCAACAAACTTGCTCAGCGAGGAACTTATAGACGTAACACAGTCGTAGCTACGATCTCTTTGTTAAGGAGGCAGTGGACACAAACAGACCTGCTCAGTGAGGAATTTCCAATGCCAGGACACCTGGGCTGCCCGAGAAAGACTCTTGGGCTCCAGGAAGGAGAAGATGTAGACAGACAGGATTCTGGGAAGGACGGAGGTGAAGTCAAGATGCTGCAGGGGAACGTACTCGCGGAACCAGTCCTGGACAAACTTCTTCTGAGGTCGTTTACTCTGATGGAAGATGATGTCAAGGAAACGTTTTCTCTGTGAATCAGTCCACAAGTCATACTGAAATGTCAAATAACCTTATTATAGACAGTGAGTATCTCAACAGAAGATGAGGCACAAGCAACTCCAATTTTAGCACCCTGAGCTATGGAGACACTCAGTGACTGAAGATAATCACGTTCATCCATCTAGGTAGTTTGTGGTGTGATATTAGTCTCAACACTATACCTTTCACCACCACGTACGACAAGTGTGGTATGATATTAGTCTCAACACCATACCTTTCACCACCACGTCCGACAAGTGTGGTATGATATTAGTCTCAACACCATACCTTTCACCACCACATCCGACAAGTGTGGTATGATATTAGTCTCAACACTATACCTTTCACCACCACGTCCGACAAGTGTGGTATGCTAAAAACCAAATGTAATCCACGGGAACCAGGCTAACTGAAAGTCAAGTTTTTAATATTGTCTAAATGTATAGAGTTCTAGTCATCTCCAATAGTTTTTCTGCTGGCTTTTAAAATCTGGCTCCTACAGACATTTACAAGTTTACAGAAGTTTTAACCTAACTCACAACTGGTTGAACCAATTCAGAGTTCAATGCAACATAATCATGTTAATGACACCATTTCTTACATAATAATATAAACAACCTATGGTGATCAATCAAACAGCTCATCATGCTCACTAACCATGCTATCAAAGTATATTTCTACTAGGGGTGGGCGATAAAACCGGTTAACCGGTATATTGCCATTCGAACTTCACAATATGATGTTTTGCGGTACACTTTTCGCGAACCAGTTCACCCGATACGACCGGTAATTTTCATGATGTAGTCAAATCTACTAACAACATTTGTATTTCCTTTATATTATCATACATTAATAGTTTTGAGAATATTTAATATTCATATAATTGCATTTGGTTGACTTTTAAACCATGTATATAACAACTAGATTGGTAACGGCAAACCAAAATGGCGGATGGCGCTGCAAACGCTTTTTCTCGAGTTCCAAACTTTAGAGCGAAGTTTTCAATTTGGAAACATTTTCTATTGATCTTTTGTACATCTGAGTCCTCACAGTGGCCAGTGGCATTGATTCAAAAGAAAGGAAACAGTAATTTAATTACCTTAAACCATGTGTTATACTTGCACAATATATTGCAATGCGCATTGCAAATCGCCAACACATATCACAATACATGTATATCGCAATATGAACATTTTGGCAATACCCAACCCTAATTTCTACTGCCTTACCCAGTGTGAAACAAGATCTCTTCTCTCTTTGAAAATCTGAAACAAATAATCATAGCATGAAGGTGGCATCATGGCTGGTGTGACAAAAGAGTAACAGCAGTGATTGTTAACATCTTAAAACATTTTCAATACTTCAACCTCTATTTTTGTGATCAAAAGATCATGAAATTTCACTTTCAAAATTGTATGCTATAAAATCTCATTCAAATAAAAGCAAATCTTTTCCATAGCCATGAAAGCCTCTTCTAGTCCATTGTATGATTCTGACCACATAATAAACATGTTAATGTATCGCCATCAGTAGTGTGTGCTCCATCAGCTGGTGCGTGGTAGATATGTACAGTACCTACAACACTATCCTACCTGCTCATTGGACGGCTTGTGTACAACAGGTGTCCAAGCACTGTTGTATGTTCTCATCTTCAGCGTGCCCACTTTGTCGTTGGTTGTCTTCTCCCTCCTTAGTGAGGTGGTCCGGCCCAGGATCTTGCTGTCATTGCTCGTGATGGCAAGTTTAGTGGGAACTTTCTTTGTCCTGTACATGGGGGTCGTCATCCTGTGTTGAAGTGAGTGAGTGAGTTTAGTTTAATGCCACTTTTAGCAACATTACAGCAATATCATGCGGGCACACCAGAAATTGGCTTCACACATTGTACCCATAAACTCAGGTCTGCAGCATGACCAGCTAACAGCTTTTACCACTAGGGTATAGGGCTACAACAATTAACCCTGACCTCAAATTGATTCGATTTTCTATATTGGACCTTCGATTCAATCATTTTCAATTTGATTCTTCATACAAATAAAAACTTCAGATTTCATATAACTCTCAGAGTTTGCTTTTTTAGCATGAAATCCATCATCAACTTGGCAATGTCTACTAACAACAATTCTCATTGGATAATTAGTCCGCTGTTAACCAATCACGTTTCACATTCTTTCAACTGCTCGAGTTGGAGTCAAAATGATGTTCTGGCTGTGTGGAAATGATTTCAATAGGTATTCAAATATGGAATCGAAATAGTGATAATTGTTATCGAAAATCCAAACTAAGGTGTCAGATTCGAATTCGATGAATCGAACTGAATTGTTGCAGCCCTACTAGGCTACCCCACTGCTTTGTGATGATTGAGTTCAGTCCAAATAATATCAGTAATGTTTTGACATTTCAGTCTGTAGTTGGAGGAAAACCTGCATTGATACTTGTCTTTAACAATCAAATTTGGTACGCTGCCTCCGTGGTGTAGTGGTTAGAGCGTCCGCCCGGAGAGCGGAAGGTCGCGGGTTCGATCCCCGACCGCGTCATACCAAAAGACGTTAAAATATGGTACTTGTTGGTCCCTGCCTGGCGCTCAGCATTAATGGGTACAACAAGGACTGGTCGACTCGGAGTCAGTATACTGTGTCTGAGTGGGATATTCATGCTTCACTGCGGCATGGTATCTCAGTGGGCTAGCACTATAAAACCAGCTTAAGTCTGGGCTAGTACAAGCAGCAGCACATACACATACACACGCATGCACGTCGTCATATGAGCGGAATATTCTCAAGCACGACGTTAAACCCAATTTCACCTCACCTCACCTCAAATTTGGTACATACATTACAAGAAGGGTCTGAGATTGACCGACCTTGAAATATAGCCAAGGCAAATCACGGATTAGAAACTACAATCATAGGTTGTCAAAGTGAATTGTGATGCCTTAGACAACTTAGCCACCTGTATCATAAAGGCCCCCCAAAAAATATGTGTCCGTTTCCTATTACATGCTTTTTAAAAATAAGGTAGGTGGGTCGAATTTATCTTCTTCTTTTTTTTTTTTTTTCTAGAAGTACCAGCTGGGCACCTGAGACTGTCTCCAAGGATACCATATCATGTTGTTACAATGCCTTGTGAAATATTGAAAGATTTCTATATGAAATCATTATACATGTTATTTATTTGCACTTTGTCAGTGAGAACCCATTATGCCAATTCAATGCAATCCATTTTAGCCCTACGCGAGTACACTGATAAACATGAAAATATCCTACTGATTTGGATGAAAATTATGAGTTGCATCAGACATGAATTTGACTTGGTTAAAAAAAAAGATTTAGGGTCGGGGGGATTAGGATAGGGTCGGTCGGGTAACCGGAAATGGACATTGCTGAAAACAGCATCAAGACATAATAGATGTCGATGGTTAACTCAATAAAACAGTTATCTGGTTATAATGATAGGTGCCACTTTTAGATGCATATCTCAGTTGTGATAGTTTGATATAAAAAGTTAATACTATCATGAAAAAGACCCCTATTCCATCACTGGAGACCATCCAATTCAGTCTTTGTAGACCATGCTAAAAATATTGTCTAAAGAGTGAGTGAGTGAATTGGGTTTTACGCTGCTTTTAGCAATATTCCAGCAATATCACGGTGGGGACACCAGAAATGGGCTTCACACATTGTGCCCATGTGGGGAATCGAACCCGGGCCTTCAGCGTGACGAGCCAACGCTTTAACCACTAGGCTACCCCACCGCCCTATTGTCTAAAGAGCTGCTTAATGTAGCAAATATCACATTCATTGATATAAAAATAATTCTAGAATAGCCAAGGTACATATTATGCCAATGAAACGCTGAACAAACAATTTGAATATCAGATTTCTTCCATGGCTCTTGGCTATAGCATCCACCATAAATAATTTGTCTTATTGCCTGCCAATCTCATTCCGTCCTACATTGGTCCTCAATTAACTGCTGTCTGTCACGCTGCATCGCGCAACCCCATACGTACCCTAACTTGCATGCTACAGCCTCTAATTATCTGTTTTGTTAGATAACAAATTAGTGCTCATTTCCATGAAGACAATTACTGTTACCTCATCAATCACATCAGGCAGTGTATCACACTTCACCGAACACATTACTTATTTACAGCATTACAAGATGACAGAAGCTGGAGCACTTGTACAGTACACGCTGGGCTTTAACCCTCCAGCCAATCCATATTTAATGAGAGATTTGATTTAAACCGTTGTCAAGGCAACACTTTCATGTTATTATTCAGAGAAATTGTGATATATATGTCTCGAGCATGCATTGGTTTTGAGGTGTGCCACGGAGTGTTTATATCATGTTCAGAGGTGTGCATGTGTGTGTGTGTGTGTGTGTGTGTGTGTGAGAGAGTGGAAACTAACCTCTTACATGTTACATGTCTACTGAGGGCGGTGGGGTAGTCTAGTGGTTAAAGCATTTGCTCGTCACGCTGAAGACCCGGGTTCGATTCCCCACATGGGCACATTGTGTGAAGCCCATTTCCGGTGTTCCCCGCAGTGATATTGCTGGAATATTGCTAAAGGCGACATAAAACCCAACTCACTCACTCACTACACATCTACAGGATGCAGATCAAGTGTTAAATGACTTCTAATGTTACCAGGGATGAATATTCACATTCCATATTTGTGTTTTATTTCAAACCACATTCTGTCCATATCCAATGCTTAAATGACAACAGAGTTGTCTTACAAACAAATGAATGACAAACAACAGTTTCACTGATGAACAACATGATTACAGAACATTTATTTATCTGAAACATGCAAAATACAAACTTTTACCTAAAATTAATTTAGTGAAAAATATAGACATTCCAATGTTTTCTGATAGCAGTACTTTTATCATTCATGTGATTTCACTTTCTTTAACATAAAATTGACAAGATCTCTTTACAGCTCAAGAAAAGGACTACCCGGTAAGTTGATTTGTACTCTGGCTTATAAACCTCCAGTGACGTGACTCTATTGTCTCGCCTGAGTAAACCTCTACAGGCAGTTTCACGGGCATTCTCCAAGAAATCCTGTGGATTTTCTACAGAATTGCCTGCATCCCAGGGATTTTCTAAGGAATAGCCCTTGACTTTAAATTATTACAGAACAACCAGAAATTATTGAGAATTTAAAGATTGTACAAAAATTATTTTTCACCCATTACTCACGTATTAAATGTGAATATTAGCAGAACATAACTCCAGATTCAAAGACAGGTGAACAGTTAGTATTTTGTCAAGTCACCATGGGCAGCAATGCAGGCTTCAATGCGGCGGGGCATACTACTGATCAAAGAAGTTAGAAAGTCGTGGTCCATGCTGTGCAAATATCGGATCACCTCTTCTTTCATTTCAGCAATATTTTTTAGATTTTCCTTATAGACACTTTCCTTCATAAGTCCCCAAACATTTTCTATTGGATTTAGGTCAGGGCTATAGCTTGACCAATCTAATAATGTCATATTTTGGGTCTGAAACCAGGCCTGTGAATGTTTTGAACGATGATTTGGGTCGTTGTCCTGCTGGAAAATCAAAACAATTCCATAGAACACGTGAGCAGATGGAAGTAACTGTCCCTCGAGAATATCTGTGTACCGCTACGGTTCATATTCCCTTCAAATACACAGAGGGGCGTTGCCCCTAACACAGATATGCCACCCCACACGTTAAATTTCGGACTGTACTTTGGGTGCTGATACAAAGGTTTTTCAGTTTGTTTGGTCCAGAATTTCAGTGTATTAGGAAACAGCCACACAGAACTTTCATCTGAGAAAATCACATTGTCCCAGTTAAAATATCCATGCTGTAAGCACCAGTTCAACCTTCGCTCCTTTTGTTCAGGTTTCATGATCGGTGATGGAATTCCTCCACTTTTCTGCCAACCCATTGCATGCAGCTCAGTTCTAATTGTCTCCTTACAGACAGCCACAGTTCCTCTATCAATCATATCCAGCCTTAAGTTTTCTAAACTCCTCCATTTGTTTTTAGAAACAAGAATACCAAGCCGCCTCCTGTCACCGACAGTCAATTTTATGGGCCTACCTGCGCCTCCCTGGTGCTCAATGCCATATCCATTTGCAATATTTTTCAAAACACGATAAACAGTGGACAAAGGGATGCCTGTTCTACTTGAAATCACTTTAGCTGATCTGATGTCCTTGTTATAATACTCTAAAATCAACTGTCTTTTCTCTAAATCATCCATACTGAGGATCACTGAAAATGTCGTCTGCTAGCAAGTAAACAAAGGGGGGTAACTCTTCACAAACTAATGAAAAAGGATTAACAGAGTTCTCTCTCTTGAATGAAACCAAGCACTTGATAGCTGGTCAAGGTTGTTTATACTAGAAATCCAATTAAACATATTTCTAAAATTCTCAGTAATTTCTGGTCATACTATACTTGTTTTGAAGATTGATATAACTTTGTCTTGCTATCACTGAATACAATCGTAAAATATCACATTATTAAAAACTTCCAATATATAGTGCCGAAACCTTGTTTTGAACCCACAACCTGTCGCTTACTAGCTTGGCAGTTTTATCCACTAGGCTACGAAGGATCGCTGTGAAGAATGAGATTGTTTGTCAGCATGAACTGTATGTTCCTCACAAGACAGGTAGTGCGGACAGCACATGTGCAGGACACGGGTAGTGCGTGCAGAACATGTGCATTGCGTGTGCAAGGCATGGTGTCGGCTGCCAGTTGCATCCCAGTTGATTTCAACAGTAAATACCAAATATTAAAATTATATCTAAAGTATATCTATGGTCGGTTCATAAGTTGGATCAAAACCTCCTTCTCGGTTTTGTTTGAAAAAGTAAGCCCTTGGCCTCAGGAAATCAGGTCGGGCCTGTCGGTCCTCCCCAATTTCCCTCTGCCGCGGGCTTACATTTTCAAACAAAATCTCGAAGTCGGTTTTGATCCTTTACATAAAAACACAATACACATTAATTGTGTATTTCAGGGTTGGCCGTGTTAAAACCTGGGCAGATGTTGGGGCCCAAGTCTGCAGTAAATATCAGTAAAAATGCCCAGAACTAAAATTTTCCAATTCATAAAAAACATACTTATAGTGGTAATAATAGCTAAAATATGACTTTGAAGAGGTAACCAGTATTTCACTGATAACATATCCATTAAAGGATGCTTAGCTTAAGATCAGGGCACTGAATACCATCTCAGAATACAAAATACATCTGAATATACAAGGAACTAAAAGATTATCCGAAATTTTGAATAAAAATGTATTATTCAGAGGAAAAGTAGTATTTTATACCTCTCCTCATTCATATGTTTCCTATATGCTTGCCAGTGGCATGAAGTTGAGACGCCTGGATAAATCCCTGTGTTTATAAACATGGGTACATATCTTGGTGTTTGAAAGGAAAACAAGCAGGAAATGATTGCTGTTGCAGTTTTCCTTTAACATCATCCATAAATGAATTTACGATATTCTTTTCATTGGTCCAGGTGTACGTGTTGTTTGCCTCATGAGGTTGTTAATGGACTTTTGTACTGCTGTGTGAAGGCTGAAGCCCTGACCAGAGGTGGCCCTATTGGATTTAGCTGTTCCTACTTGTTGCAACAACCTTAGGACTGATATCTATAAATACTGACTATTCTTCACACAATGCCATAATATCAGGAGCTTGATCATTGTGTAGGTGAGTTGTATATTTGTGTTCAATATTCAATAACAAACAAACACAATAATAAATGTGCCTATTGCCTAACATAATAAAACTTTACTTGCACACTCACAAATACTGAATTACAAATATAAAACCCCAAACACAAGGAAACAGCAGTTTAATAAGTTGAAGTAATTGTGTACAAAAATATGTAATCCTCTTGGGTGAGAGTTCCTCCCGTTCCCCCATCCCAAATAATATGGATAAATATTCTAGAATTATAAACAAAACTTACCACAACAATTACTAGAGAACTCACAAAATGATAAAAAGTCCAAAATTTAAGTTAGGGCTAGGTTTAGGGTTAGGTTTAGAGTTGGGGGAACGGAAGGAACTTTTTCCTCATCTTGTCCAGTCAAAAACAGCAGTCAAGCATCAAATGAGAGAATATTTTCTGTATTAATTATGCCATGACCATAAACGCAGTGTCCGACACGGCGAAGGTAGTGTACTCAGTGACACTTGTAATTGATTTATAGCATATATCTGTTATCTACACGATCTGTGTACTAGGTACATTAGTTCGACCCTACCAGTCCTTATTTAGGAGAAATCGATTCTTGGCGAGTGACAGGACAATCTCATGAATTGACTTGCATGGAAACTCAAGACACAAACTTATAGCTCACGGACAATATTGTTAGAACAATAATTCGAATGGTAATAAGCTTTCTATTACTTCTACCTGACTGCAAGCGCTCTGTTCGATGTTCGTAAACTCCCCTGTCAACTCCTTGTTGTTTTACTGTCGACTCACTGACACAACTCACTCAAACACCCGCCATTACACGAGCATGATCGCGCATGCGTAGCGTGGTGTTGGTATGACGACAACGAGTGAGCTGTCAGGTGCGCGGAGAGAGTGGAAGGAGCTCTCTGGTGACCTTCGGCTGTGAATTGCCTGCATAATTAATAGTGTTGTTTACAAATGTAGGCATCATGGGGATACAAGTTGGAGTTACTGCATAATGAAGCAGTGAAAACAAACGATGCTTTGTTACCGAAGCCAGTCATCACGAAGAGGCATAAATATTTACACCACGAGATGGCTGAAACCGCTTCAAAATCAACCACTATTTAAATGGTTGTTATAAAATACAAACTTATTTCACAATTTGAGAACCATCCAAACTTCCATTCAAGACAGTATATTGAAATTTAAAAAAAATAGAAATAGCCAATTAAGAATTTAAGGACACATTAAATTTTCACAAAATCATATATTTGATTAGAAAACTTGAATTTTTAATATTTTATTGTACATTTTATATATATTATGTTGTATTATGTTGTAACTTGAATCCAATTAAAATTTTAGCATGAGTTTGTCTTGTAAGAAAACTGCGTATGAGATTGTATAAAGTCGATCGGCGCAGACGTAAATTAATCAGATAATAATGATAACAAAAAAAAACCCCGAAATAAACAATGATAATTATTATTTAATAAAATGCAACTGATTAAATGTATAACTGAATTCAATTTGAGGGATTCATGAATTCATTTAACACTGTAAACTTAGCAATGCCACTGGGTTAAAAGGGTCAAGGACACAGCGTATCAATATCGTTACTATGACAATCCAAATATAAGTGACTATGTCGAGCCGACCGATGGAATTTTATTCCTCTCGCATTCCAAGACTAACTCCAAGTTCCACAATGTCTGAGGGTCAATCTAGGTTACATAGTGACGTTACATGTATATACGCCTCCCTACTGTTTAGACCAAATCTGGCGATCTGCATATGTAATGGGTTGCCACTAGATACCTAGCTAAAGGGTCCTTCACGCTTATTTCGAATTGACAGGAATCAAGGAGAATCAGCCAGAAAAAAAATATTTCCAAAATTCGAACCGCATTCGGGAGAGAATGTCAAAATAAAATAAAAATTCAAACCTTGTATGAATGCTGTTGGAATACTTAGAACGCACTTTGAAACCGCCTCGAATGATTCTTACTCATTCCAAATGTACTAGATCACGAATGCAGCTCGAATGAATCGGAATACAGTAGGAATAATTAGAATGCCGTTAGAATACACTAAGAATACTTAAAATGAATTTCGACTGCCGTACGAGGCCGGTTCGATTGCTGCGTGAATAGCACTCGAATTTCAGTTGGAACGTACCTCGAATGCTGTACGAATTTGCATAGAATGCATTCAGAACCCTCTTGGAATGACCCCCCGAATATGGATAGAATGTTAAAGAATTAAAACAGAATGCAGCTTGAACATTTCAAATGTCCTTCAAATGCACCTAGAATGTAACACGAATGTCCGAAATGCATCAAGAATGATGCTGGAATGTTCCACGATGGGGTATAAAAACCTGTTGAATCTGGACTATTCATCAGTCTCTGCCCAACGCCTATACAGTATGGACCCCCTGGACCATGTTGCGTTGCTTCAGATTGCTGTCCTCCAGCAAGCCCTGATGAAAGAGATGTGGCCAGACCATGACTGACAGAGGAAAGGAGGAGGCTGTATGGACATTACAAGACTGATGGTGGAGCTCAGAGTTGAGGACACGCAGTCATTTTTCAACTACCTTAGGGTGGAGCCTGCCATGCTTGATGAGTTGCTGCAGAAAGTGGCACCAAGAATACAGAAGCAGGATACATATATGATGAGAAAGGCGCTACCTCCAGGCTTGGAGCTCGCCATCACATTGTGGTTCCTGGCTTCAGGTGATAGGTACCCCAGTATCATGTACAGCTTCCGCGTGGCAAGGAACACAATCAGCCTGATCATCCCAGAAGTATGTATGGTCATTATGGAGGAATACAAGGATGAGGTTATCATGTGCCCTACCACTCCAGAAGAATGGGCACCCATTGAAGAGGTATTCACAAGCAGGTGGAATATTACTCATGCCGTAGGAGCTTTAGATGTCAAACATGTGGCCATTAAGAAACCTGCCAAGAGCGGCTCATTGTACGACAACTACAAGGGCTTCTTCTCTGTGGTCCTCATGGCCCTTGTGGATGGAAATTACAAGTTCCTGAGGGTGGACGTTGGTGCTTACCGAAGTATGTCTGATGCTCAGAAGTTCAACGAGTGCGAGCTCAGGGATTGCCTCGAAGACGGGAGCATGGGTGTCCTGATCCGTTCCCCTTACCCCAAGTTGACGAGCGTATGCCATGCTTTATTCTGGGAGATAATGCCTTCGGAATAAGGGCCTTCTTGATGAAACCGTATGGTCATAGGACTATCCAGAGAGACGAGAGAATCTACAACTACAGGGTCAGCAGGGGCCGACGGGAAGTCGAAAATACATTTGGAATCATGGCCCAGAGTTGGCAAATCCTCCTCACCACCATGCTGCCAAGGCCTTCCGTTGTGAAGGACATCATTGAATGCTGAGTCTGCCTGCACAACGTGATGAGGACTCGTTATCCTAATCTCCACAATGGTATGGTGGATGAGGAAGATGCAGCACAATGTGGTGCCAGGAGGCTGGAGACAACTTGCGCAGCTTGAAGATGTGAGTGATATCTGAAGTTTCAGTGACAGGTGGCTACATTTTCATGCGATTCGGCGGTGGTCTGATTACGTCAGGGCTCATTTGAAGAGCATTCGGGACGTTCTGACTGTATTCGAGGTGTATTCGATGCACATTCTAGCTGTATTCCAAGTGCAATCGAAATATTCCGATACTTTTAAAGACTATTCCACCTAAATTCCACAAGCAATCGGAATACATTTGAGGCGCATTCGGGACATTCTTGCAGGATTTGAAGTGGCTTGCCTTTTCGATTCTCCCTCGAACACGTACAGAATTTTAGAATGCAGTTAGAATGCAGTAAGAATACTTAGAATGCAGTTAGAATACACTTCAAATGTTGTTCGATATTTTTCCACTTCGAATGTACCTCGAAAGTTTTGAACATGCTCAAAACATTCTGGCATGTTAAAAGAATTGACACGAATAGTTGGAGAGCATTCGGAATAGAGTAAGAAGTTTTAGAATGCAGTTCGAATTTCCAGGAATTTTCATTCCGACGGCATTCCGGCTCATTCCGGCTCAAGTGTGAAGGGGGTATAACACACAACGTATAAGTTGGATCGTGAATGGAATGACGTGTGTGCGAAAGATGTGTTTTCTGTAACGAACTGGTGTTACGTTGCTTCGGACGTCCACGAGGGTTGTTTTTCGAGAATGAAAGATGGTAGCCAACACATTAACACTTAACAATGACACACCAAACATGCCCATCTTTTAAAGGCTCTTTGGTGGCAAGCATTTTTAAGTTAGCGGTTAGAAAAATGTGGATTTAAAAAAAGTAAAATAAATTGGGAATTGATACTGCCCTTTGCCTTTGGGCCGTATATCGGCCTCTAAGCTGGTCTATGTACACCTGCGTGAATTCGGTAACACTGAAGTTGAAGGTCATGGTCATTTGGTGTCAGAATAATGCCAGGTAACTGAGCCTTCATTCCCGATTCCCACAAACAATTCCTGATGGTCTGTTTGGGGATTCAGACAGGAGACAGCAGTGCGTGAGTTTTGTTTTACGCCGCTTTTAGCAATATTCCGGCAATATCTCGACAGGGGACACCATAAATGGGCTTCACACATTGTACCCATATGGTGATTCGAACCGGGTTCGACGAGCGAACACTTTAACCACTAGGCTACCCCACCGCCCCGGAGACTGCAGAAGTGATAGAGGGGGGGTATGAAGATACCGCTACGCAACGGTCCAGCGGATGCAGCGGTCAAGGGTCCGTCCCACAGAGGATCGCAGCGCCAAATGTAACTCATGAATATTTACGTAAGAAATGAGTTTGCTCTCCTCCATATGTAATGTAATAAAGTACAGATTTGCCCGTCGGAACTGTTGCAGTTTAACATTTCGAAGGCCAGTTATGTCGTATCTGAAAAGCGTACTTCATCGCAGGATAGCATTATATATTTTCGCGAAGCATCTCGGAACTTCACATAGACTTTCAACAGTTATGGGACGGGGCTACAGACGATTAGTTGATCTGCGTGCCTGCAGCTGGTATCTGTGCCAAAACTGTTGTATGGCCCTATATGAAATGTTCAGTGACCTTGCCAAGGTGGCCTGAGTAATCTGGATGTAACAATGTAACAAAGAAAACAACATAATTCACCCTTCAGATGGTCAGTGCTAATTGAGATGTTTTGTTTCAGTGATGACCTCCAACGTTCAATGCTCCTTTGGATGGCTTGTAAGGTAAAAGAAACTCGAGTGACCGCTTGTTTCAGTGATGAAACCTTCAAAGCGAACACTGTGCGGGAAGCACGTGCATCAAACGATTTGAGAGACCCACGAGTACCTTTCTTTAAAATGTCATTTTTTCGATTTATGTAAACATAGTGTATTTGCATGGTAATGAAACCCACCATATGTGAAAAACATAAACATGGACATTGTTGAAACCAATTTGTGCTAGTGATATCCATCTTTTCTCTTTTATTATTACATATAGTCTATTGTTCAAACATTGTTACTGACTTTCTCATAATTTGCTTTTGTCTTAATGTTGGAAAATAATTTTAACACAGAACTAATTCTGTACTCCTAGAAACCTCAAACACAGCGGCACCTGTAGGCAGAACCATCAACTGGTGTCAAACACCAATGGCCATAACACCAGCGCCATTTACGACAAGTCTTTGCTATTGCTACACACAAAAAGTTAAAGAACACTTGATTCTTTCATATTTGTCGATTTATTCTGTCATGCCAAGCTACAGTAATGTGAAGGAATAGTCTATTCTTTAACTGTTTTCTACATTATTTAATGGATTATCCAGTCTGAA